GTTACCAACGCAAGCATCCAGGAAATAATTTTCTTACTTGGCTATCAGAGGGGCGCAGTGCGTACCAAGAAAGAAGCACGTCGAAGCTAGTCTCCATGCATATTTATAAAGATCAAGAACAATAAGCTGAGTAAGATGAACTCAAATACACGATGCTCATGACAAAACGGACTGAGAGAAGCTATAAGAAGGGGAACCGAATCAAACATACAAGCGGGTAGGGGGGTTGCAGGGGGGAGGGCTGCCGTACCGAGAAAAAAGCACAAAGAACGAAGCACATAGGAACCCAAATCACTAATGTTGATGGAACAAGGAAAGGGAATAGGAGTAGGGAGCAAGAGGCGCCGGTTACAAAATGCTGCCGTGCGGACCAAGAAAACAAAAAGAGGAACCCAAATCGTTGCTGCTGATGGAAAAAGCAGAAGGAATAGGAGTAGGTAGCAAGGGGCGTCGCTTACGAAATATAAGCGAGTAGGCGGGTGCAGGGGCCAGGGATGCGGAACACTAAAGAAGCACATAGGAACCCAAATCATTGATGCTGATGGACAAAGCAAAAGGAATAGGAGTAGGTAGCAAGGGGCGTCGCTTACGAAATATGAGCGAGTGGGAGGGTGCAGGGGCCAGGGATGCGGAACAATAAAGAAGCACATAGGAACCCAAATCATTGATGCTGATGGACAAAGCAAAAGGAATAGGAGTAGGTAGCAAGGGGCGTCGCTTACGAAATATGAGCGAGTGGGCGGGTGCAGGGGCCAGGGATGCGGAACAATAAAGAAGCACATAGGAACCCAAATCATTGATGCTGATGGACAAAGCCAAAGGAATAGGAGTAGGTATCAAGCGGCGCCGGTTACAACATGAAAGCCGGTCGAACTGTGCCCTCCCCCCTGCAATGCGTAGCATGACAGGCGTACGAAGCAAGCAACACCCACATCGTTGATGATGATAATGGAAAAAGCCAAAGGAATAGGAGTAGGTCGCAAGGGGCGTCGGTTAGAAATACAAGCGGGTGGGGGGCAGGTGGGGGGTGCAGGGGGGAGGGCGCAGCGCCTCCCCCCGCAATGCGTAGCAAGCAAGAAGCACCAAGAAAGAAGCACATAGGAAAACAAATCCTTGAAGCTGATGGAAAAAGCAAAAGGAATAGGAGTAGGTAGCAAGGGGCGCCGGGTAGAACATACAAGCGGGTAGGCGGGGTACAATGCGTACCAAGCAAGAAGCCCCGCAGTACGTACCAAGAAAGACGCACGTCGAAGCTAGTCTCCATGCATCTTGACAAAGATCCAAAAAAAAAGATGAGTAAGGTGAACTCAAATAAACGTTGCTCATGACGAGAAGGAATGAGAGAAGCTAAGAAGGGGGGCCGAATCAAGCATACAAGCGGTTCGCCTACACGAGCCGGGGCGAGTTTCATGGACTTTAGCGGGGGTTGAGAACCCCCCCGGGTTAACTCGAACCCTCGAACTCGAACTCGAAGTCGAACTCCTCCTCCCCCCTGCAATGCGTAGCATGACAGACGTACGAAGCAAGCAACACCCACATCGTTGATGATGATAATGGAAAAAGCCAAAGGAATAGGAGTAGGTCGCGAGGGGCGTCGGTTAGAAATACAAGCGGGTGGGGGGTGCAGGGGGGAGGGCGCAGCGCCTCCCCCCGCAATGCGTAGCAAGCAAGAAGCACCAAGAAAGAAGCACATAGGAAAACAAATCCTTGAAGCTGATGGAAAAAGCAAAAGGAATAGAAGTAGGTAGCAAGGGGCGCCGGGTAGAACATACAAGCGGGTAGGCGGGGTACAATGCGTACCAAGCAAGAAGCCCCGCAGTACGTACCAAGAAAGACGCACGTCGAAGCTAGTCTCCATGCATCTTGACAAAGATCAAAAAAAAAAGATGAGTAAGGTGAACTCAAATAAACGTTGCTCATGACGAGAAGGAATGAGAGAAGCTAAGAAGGGGGGCCGAATCAAGCATACAAGCGGTTCGCCTACACGAGCCGGGGCGAGTTTCATGGACTTTAGCGGGGGTTGAGAACCCCCCCCCGGGTTAACTCGAACCCTCGAACTCGAACTCGAACTCGAACTCCTCCGCCCCTCCCCCCGCCAAGATCTCGGATCCCAACCTTGGAACCAAACTCGAACTCGCAGCCCCCCCCCCTCTCCTGCACGCCAAAAAAAGAACCTCTCGTACCGAGAAAAAAGCACAAAGAACGAAGCACATAGGAACCCAAATCACTAATGTTGATGGAACAAGGAAAGGGAATAGGAGTAGGGAGCAAGAGGCGCCGGTTACAAAATGCTGCCGTGCGGACCAAGAAAACAAAAAGAGGAACCCAAATCGTTGCTGCTGATGGAAAAAGCAGAAGGAATAGGAGTAGGTAGCAAGGGGCGTCGCTTACGAAATATAAGCGAGTAGGCGGGTGCAGGGGCCAGGGATGCGGAACACTAAAGAAGCACATAGGAACCCAAATCATTGATGCTGATGGACAAAGCAAAAGGAATAGGAGTAGGTAGCAAGGGGCGTCGCTTACGAAATATGAGCGAGTGGGAGGGTGCAGGGGCCAGGGATGCGGAACAATAAAGAAGCACATAGGAACCCAAATCATTGATGCTGATGGACAAAGCAAAAGGAATAGGAGTAGGTAGCAAGGGGCGTCGCTTACGAAATATGAGCGAGTGGGCGGGTGCAGGGGCCAGGGATGCGGAACAATAAAGAAGCACATAGGAACCCAAATCATTGATGCTGATGGACAAAGCCAAAGGAATAGGAGTAGGTATCAAGCGGCGCCGGTTACAACATGAAAGCCGGTCGAACTGTGCCCTCCCCCCTGCAATGCGTAGCATGACAGACGTACGAAGCAAGCAACACCCACATCGTTGATGATGATAATGGAAAAAGCCAAAGGAATAGGAGTAGGTCGCAAGGGGCGTCGGTTAGAAATACAAGCGGGTGGGGGGTGCAGGGGGGAGGGCGCAGCGCCTCCCCCCGCAATGCGTAGCAAGCAAGAAGCACCAAGAAAGAAGCACATAGGAAAACAAATCCTTGAACCTGATGGAAAAAGCAAAAGGAATAGGAGTAGGTAGCAAGGGGCGCCGGGTAGAACATACAAGCGGGTAGGCGGGGTACAATACGTACCAAGCAAGAAGCCCCGCAGTACGTACCAAGAAAGACGCACGTCGAAGCTAGTCTCCATGCATCTTGACAAAGATCAAAAAAAAGATGAGTAAGGTGAACTCAAATAAACGTTGCCCATGACGAGAAGGAATGAGAGAAGCTAAGAAGGGGGGCCGAATCAAGCATACAAGCGGTTCGCCTACACGAGCCGGGGCGAGTTTCATGGACTTTAGCGGGGGTTGAGAACCCCCCCGGGTTAACTCGAACCCTCGAACTCGAACTCGAACTCGAACTCCTCCGCCCCTCCCCCCGCCAAGATCTCGGATCCCAACCTTGGAACCAAACTCGAACTCGCAGCCCCCCCCCCTCTCCTGCACGCCAAAAAAAGAACCTCTCACCCCCAATCCCCTCCGGGGCCCTCCCACGATGACAGTTCGAACCCTCGCAATCGAACTCGAACTCAAACTCAACCTCTGCGTCCCCGACCTAGAACTCGAACTCGAACTCCTCCCCCCCCCTCCCCTCGAACGATGACAGTTCGAACCCTCGAACTCGAACTCGAACTCCACCCCCCCCGCCAAAAAAAAAAAAAAAAAAACTCCGACCTAGAACCGACTCGAACTCGGAATCCCCCCCCCCTCCCCTCGAACGATGACAGTGCGAACCCTCGAACTCGAATCGAACTCGAATTCAAAACTCAACCCTCCGCGTCCACGACCTAGAACTCGAACTCGAAAACTCGAACTCCCCCCCCCCCTCCCCTCGAACGATGACAGTTCGAACCCTCGAACTCGAACTCGAACTCGAACTCCCCCCCTGGAAGCCCTTGAAAGAATAACAATTCGAACCCTCGAACTCGAACTCGAACTCCCCCCCCCCTCCACTCGACGATGACAGTTCGAACCCTCGAACTCGAACTCGAACTCGAACTCCCCCCCCTCCCCTGGAAGGATAACAATTCGAACCCTCGAACTCGAACTCGAACTCCCCCCTCCCCCGCCCAACGAAAAGAAAATCTCCCGACCTCGAACTCGAACTCGAACGCTAACCCCCCCTCCTTTTCCCTCTTCGATGACAGTTCGAACCCTCGAACTCGACACTCGAACTCGAACTCCACCCCCCCCCCAGCAAAAACAACAAAAAAATCCGACCTAGAATCGAACTCCCCCCCCCTCCCCTCAACAATGACAGTTCGAACCCTCGAAATCGACTGAACTCACCCCCCCTCCCTGGAACACTAACAATTCGAAACCCTCGAACTCGAAACTCGCACTAGAACTCGAGTCCCCCCCCCGCTTCAAACGAAAAGCAAATCTCCCGGACCTCGAACTCGAAACTCGAACCTTCCTCCACCCCCTTCACAAAACCACACCACTCGCAACGATTTGAAGTTCGAAACCTCGGAACTCGAACCGAAAACTCCACACACCCCCCGCCACACAAAAAAAAATCCTCCCGACCTCGAACTCGAACTCGAACTCGAACTTCCCCCCCCCCCATCCCCTCCGAAGCAGACGTACGAAGCCAGTTCAAACTGGTATCGAACAGTTCGAACCCCCCCGGGTTAACTCGAACCCTCGAACTCGAACTCGAACTCGAACCCCCCCCCTCCCCTCGAGGCACACCTAGGATGGCAGTTCGAACTCGAATCGAACAGTTCGAACCCCCCCGGGGCACACTCTGAACAACTGAAAAAGAGCCTCTTCAGCCCCCTAAAATTGGTATTTGTTTGTGGGACTCCCCTGAATTATCTCTGATCACATGCTGAAGACGATCATAAGAACGGCTCATTGGAAGATGCCCAAAAAATCGCCAGCATCGCCTGATCCATTCAGTGCCGCACGTTGGAAAAGGGGCCTGGATACCTGTGACCGGCCGAGCCATACGCATCTCATGACTCCAAATGCAGCATACTTTTTGAGGTGAAGCAATTCACGTGAAACAAGCAAACTCCACGAAACATGGTAGAATCCATGGTAGAATCAAACTTTTCCATCCCGTTTCGACTCCAGTCTTCTCCAATCCTTGACATCCGCTGTGTTGGCTCACAAGTGGAAGGCCAGGGGCTGCCTGGAGGCCGGCACTTGGGTGCGAACACATGATTGTCATGGGAATCATCCCAAGTTGGGCCTTTTTTCTCTTAAATGTCTTGAATTTTAAATATCATCCACTTAGTTTTTTTTGGTTTGGACTGGTTTGGACATATCATACATTACTGGTTGGTGGTTTGGAACATTTTTTTTCCATATATTGGGAATAATCATCCCAACTGACTTTCATATTTTTCAGAGGGGTAGGTATACCACCAACCAGATTATTATTAACCATCAAAAAAACCATCATCATAAACCATCATCATTAACCATCATCATTAACCATCATTAACAGTATATTAACCACATATTCACAGTATATATACCCTCTGGTAATTTAACATAGCTATTGAACATGGCCATAGAAATAGTGGATTTACCCATGAAAAATGGTGATTTTCCATAGCTATGTGAAATTACCAGAGGGTATATCTCCATTTTTCGTTGGATAATCATTCGCAACGTCCAACTGAAGAGTCCGGTTGCTGGTTCCGCCGCGCGTCTCCCCAGGTGGCGCGGCTCCGCGACGCCGAAGATGGGCAGGTGCCGCGAGATTTGGGGGAGATGGGCCCTGGGGATAGCAACAAGACCTGGGGGAGATCTGGGGATTCAAGCGATAAATTGTGATCATATTCATGGTTTATGTATAAAATCACCATATGATCCATGACTTATAGAATATGATGGATATGTATTCATCATATGTATTCATGGATATTTATGTAAAATTCATGGAATGACTAGTTGTGATGGATGAAAAACATCGCCAGAAAGACCCCCAGATAGGCGTGGGCAGATCTCCATCGACCGCATCGTGGCGCTGCGAAGCTCCGTGTTGCCGTGGCTCGGCCTTTTTTGTTTTTGAAGGTACAGCAATTCGAAGCATCATTTAGGGTTAAACAAATGGGGGTGGGTCAAAACCTATTATTATCAATTCTAATGGGATGAACATCCATTTACCAGCTATTTTGGGGTTCACTAGGTGCCAGGGTTTTGACCAATAGCCAAATGGGGGATCTATAGAGGACTTAACCAACAAACACTGGGAGTTTTTGAAGTTTTGACCCACAAAAAGTGGACATGTGAACCAGTAAAGAGTGGTTTTTGACCAACAGAACTGGAGGTAGAAGTCAGAAGAAGACGGTTTTTTCCAAAAATGGAGCTCACGCCAGAAACATTGGAATCAAAACCAGTTTGAACGAACCAAAATAGGGGAGTTTACGCCATGTGTGTGAGCTCCCTGAGGAAGCTTCCGCCAGAGCAATTAGCCAACAAAAATGGGAGTAACGATAGGAGTCTCGTGACTGAACATGGGAATATATTCATATAGACATGTCTGATCATATCTGATCATATAATGTATGTGAACGATAGATATACTGATATACTTGCCAATGGATCATGTCACAAAAAGGCCATGAGTTCACAACCCGTTGCTGTGATCACGAAAGTTTCCCCACGGCCTGAGGATTTATGTCATCATCCGTGCAGCTCTCAGATGTCGGCACCGAAAATTCGGTTTTTTGTTTCGCGGGAATCAGAGCTGGTTTGATCATTTTTTGAAAGGGGACTCTCTTGTGGATCAGACAGTTGCACGTTGCAGATCGTTGCAGGGCCTGGCGGTGTGACCACAGCAGACGAGGTATTGCGCAAGCAAGGGTGGTGTTTCGGTTTGAGTACTTGATCAGGGCACTGAAGAAACATCTTTGAGGCCACCCAAAATCATTCCCTTGGGGGATTTGACATTTTGACATTTTGACCATGACCCACTTGAACGACTTGGAAGTTGATCCCAACCATAATTCCAAGCAGATACTGTACTAATTCAGTGTGTGGCTGCTAGTGTACAGTTTTAAGATACTGTACACATACGATCAATCATGTCTAAATATATTTTGGTTCACAGCGGGTGATGTTTCGTTTTCTTCCGGAGGTCTCTGAGGACGGCAATGACTTCCTCACGACCCGGATGTTTCTTGGAGCCAGAAAAAGTGGATGGACCTAAACTGTGGACCAAAATCGAATCAGTTTCGGGACCCAGATGCTTTTTTGGTCTGTATGTTTGAGACATATGAAATATAATATAATTTAATATAATATATATATATATAAATCCCAAGGCAATAAAGAGGATTTGCAGAAGGAGAGATGGGGCTTCGGTTAGCAGATCGATGTTTCCTGCAGCGAGCTGGGAGCTGGGTGTCCAATCAAACGAGAGGACATCGCCATGGAAATAGAAGGACAATTAATAATGGGAATTTAACATAGCTATGGAAAATCACTATTTTTTATGGGAAAATCCACTATAAATGGCCATTTTCAATAGCTATGTTAAATTACCAGAGGGTAATAATGGGAATTTTTCACTATACAAAGAATGGGCATGTAAGGATCATATGATAGAGCGGGGGATCTGGTACGTACATCTTTTCGGTTCTTTCTCATCTAAATTAGTTACATGCTGATAGCTGGAAAGTCCCCCCTCCCAAGGAATCCCCAGCTTGGTAAAATTGTGGCAACAGACTCAGATGTTTCCAGGAGAGAAGAAGAGGCATCTTCTGGAAGTTCCTACTTTTCCAGCACATTTTTGTGCATGTCCCCACCATGCAATTTGCTTTCACTTAAGCCTATCAACTATTTTTGTGTTTTTTCAACGACCCTATTCCCCCTGAAAGTGGGCCGCCAGGTTCGGTGATCAGATCGCATTCCAGTCCATCGGCCCCTTGGCGACCGTAGAAAACAATCGAAATCTTGGTGGGTTTGTGACTGGGATAGCACCCCTTTTGCGGCTGGCAGAGATAGAACCTGGAAGTATGTCTTAATTGTTTTTTATGTTTTTTGGGCTTATCATACAGATAGGTCTGCTTATGTTCAGATTTGGTGCCTCGAATCAATCTCCCAAGAAACTTCTCCGCCACAGCGATATTCAGGGTCCAAAAAAAGATCACAAAACCTAAACCGCAGGACCCTCTACATATTGAATATTGTTGCTGCACAGCTTACTATAGTGTTTTCAAACACGCCAGGCCAATGCTAGGGGTGGCCCAAGCCCAGATAAACGGCATTGGCAAAGGAAAGCAAACCCGGAAAAGAAAGAAAGAATCAACGGAAACAAAGAAACGATAAAGAGAAAAGAAGAAGAAACACATTGAATTGTTTAAATAAGCGAGCAAACATGGAACCGAAAGAAACAGACCTGGAAGGAGTCAAACCTTCAGAGACTGTTTTCAAAATCTGCTGACTTGTGGCATAGGGCAACAGGTCCTTCTGTTGGAGGACAAGCTGTTCTGTCTTTGTTGGATCTCAAGCTGCCTGACAGCAAAATTGACCAATTTTGTGGCCACATTTCGATCCACAGTCAACTTCCAACAGTGCGCAAGGCGGAGAGTACCTGAGCACCGAAGGTGGCGAGGCGCCAGGGATCTTGAAGTGGCAATGACCTCTGATAATCAGCGAATCCATAGATGGTGCAGACCAACAGAAAATGGGGCATTCAAGAAGAACATAAGTAACATAAGGGTGTTCAACCAACAGAACTCCCCCAAATTTATGTTGCTTAAACTGCTGGTAGCCTGGGAACATCTGGGAACCAATCCACTGCACGCCTGGTGCCAGATCTGCACGCGGCGATATTGCAGCAGCAATGAACGCTTTACGGTGGAGAAACAGGCGGGAGTCACCGATGGCTGTGAGGATGGTCGTTGGGACATTAACCATCGCAGTTTTGGGCTATCCAAATTTCACACACAAGTGGACGTCCATGTGCATTTAGAAGCAATTCGCCGCAGGCATCATACTGTGGATGGAAGAAATCCTGCACCAGTTGATAGGTGGTTTATCCCATTATTTATAGGGTTTCAATCATCCAAGGTGGTGCAGGATTTCTTCCATCCACCGTATGAACAGATTTTGTGGTGGTGATGCAGGTCCGCCGCGTCCGCCGCGCGCAGGACACGCAGTACGCCTTTCGCTCTTGCAGCGGGCAGTACCTGAGCGTCAGCGATCGAGCACCCTTCGTGACTTTGGCTGGGGATCCCAGGTGAGGCCGGGAGAGGCAGGTGCCGGAGCTGGGTGATTTGAAATGGAAGACCATCAATAAATCCAAAAGAACCAGCAGCAATATATCCAAGAATCACAATCAAATACAATGAATGAATCCTGTATAAGGGGAAATGGGAATAGAACTATGATCAACAAATGGTCCTCTCCAAATGGGTGTGGGGGTCTGGCTATGGATCAAGTTATTGGAATAGTATGGTACGCCCTCATTTATTGCAAAGTCCCCATGGTTTATTCTGATTTCCCCTTTTGAAATTGTGACCATTGAAGTCTTCGCCTCATGTTCAGCCCAAATAAAGTAAACTATACTAAAGAAATCTAAAAAATAACATCATACTAAAACATATCAACCGTTACCCTCTGGTAAACTAACATAACTATGGAAAATCACCATTTTTAATGGGTCAATCCACTATTTCTATGGTGATTTTCAATAGCTATTTTGACATAACCAGAGGGTAAAGACATTCCATCCATTGGAAGATGATCACTGGTGGATGGCTTGTCCCAGGCTGCGGCGCCTGGGGAGACGGAGGCGTTCCAACTCTTCTCGCTGATGATGTACGGCGTGAACGCCGCCTGGCCGACAAGGGGGTCTTCCGGGGAGGGGACGAGGGGACGAGGGGACGGAGTCCAACGTTTGAGACCTGTAAGCAAAGAAGCTTGGAGGAACTTGATGAACTTGTGATTTTCACAGGGATTGAATCAAAGGTGGAATGAATGGGAATATGACTACAACGAGGATTCTCTGGCTTAACATCTGACATAGATACAGTATCGGTTCAAGAGAATTGGTGCGATTCCCAGAACAGAACGCTTGGAGGGATGGATCCCCTGAACATGCCTGTATCACCAGCAAGAAAGAACTGCCAGCCCCAAAAATCTGGGGATAGACAGATAGACCGTATAGACCCCCAAGAAGAAAAATCACCAGTAGCAGAGGAGCTCCTACACACATGGGGACATATCAGATATTCAGCATGCTGCAGCCCCAGGCATGACCAAAAATCCAATATTCGGTTGGATGATTTACAGCCACCTCAAACGACTTCTGTAGAAACATGTAGAAACAATGGTTGTAAGACAAGGGACCATCAATTTCATGACTTTGAGCCAGCTTTGAGGTGTTCATTACGAACATTTATGACATTTTTGAAGTGCCATGAAGTGCCCAAATAGTCTCAGACCTGGGTGAAGGGACACTTTACAGGAGACTCAGGAGACCCCTTTATTTGGAGGCAACAACCATGGCTTTCCTGTGCCATGGGACCTGAGGTCGGTCAGCAGCTGGAGATGTTGGATAGGCGGTTCATTGGGGATGCAAAACTACGAGTTTGGTTCTGAAAATGGGGGACACCATGAAATGGCCATTCTAAGTGGGTATGGATCAATACCTATGAAAATACAATTTTTAGTGGGATGAACATCCATTTACCAGCTATTTTGATTTCCACCAGGGGTATAGGGTTTTGACACACTGCCAAATGGGGAAAATGCTAACCCATCCATTCTAGAGGTGCCTTATTCTCAGACAAACCCATTTAGGGCTGCAGAAAGCTAGTTAGATCCAGCCGCGAATGTAAGATGATTTTTCTGTATCTGAGATGGATTTTGTGGATAGATTTCTGTAAATTGCTACGGATTATGAAAGTCCAGCGGCTGCTCAAGTTGGAATATAAATGCAACAAATGGGCCCATCCCAAAGTACCACCTCCAAAAACTGGCGGCTCAAGCTTGGCATAGCTCACCCAAACGGGTAGCTGCTGACGGACATGACCATGGCATCAGGTGACTTGATTGCTTGTCCCTAGGTTTCAAGACCAATTTTCTTCCAGATAGACATGAAAAAAATTACTGTAACTACACATCATTAATTAGACATCCATGAGATCCAAAGCGTAATTTTTGATGGAAAAAGCCCATCCAAACAAATAACTCCACCAGACCAGGGGTTCCAGAAATTCCAGCCAACTCTTCACTTTCAAAAGGGGTCCCATTTGTTTTGCCGGACGGTCCCGGAGCAGTCGAACAAGCGGAAGGCCTGGCATGGCCTGGGTCACAGAGATTTGGGTGACTTGATGGCTTGGAAACTTTGCCAAACCTGGTCTGGTTGGATGTGACAGACAAGTTTTGTTTGGAGTTCCCCAAGTTTGCTTGTTTTCTTGGCAGGTCGCCACTGCAATGCGGGAAGTTGCAGGTGCAGATGGGAAAAATGCTTGGATCTTCCCCAGGGTCAAAAACCGATCTCTGTGGGATCTTCAAATCATCGAAAACATGTCATGTTGAATGGGGAAGCCAATGGGTTTTTGGGCATGATGGCTGATAAATGTGCTTCAGCAAAAAACGGATGACCTTGGGCAATTGAGATGCTGAGACAATACTATGGCAACCTCAAAAAGATGGAAACAGTATGAACAAGTAGCTTTTCCTTTCTCATTGAACCACACCTTTTCCCGGCTGGATGAGTGCCTTGAAGCCTCGGGGAGAGGCCTGGCTGTTTGGCTGGCGTCACTGACGTCGGCTGCGGCTGAGGCGCGTTCTGGGTTGGCAAGATGTCGTGGAATTGACGGGCCCCCTGAGAATTGGAGGCGTTTCCAACCTTTTGCAACCCATATTGGGATCACCATGGGGTTCGGAACCCTGGGAAAAGGGTGGAACCCAGCAAACTGGTAGAAGATGTGCGTGGATGACTGTTGAGGGCACCACCTCGGAGCCCTTCAACTGCGACTGGGGGCGACACAACTGGCACATGGGTTGGTCGAACCCCAAGAAGATCTACTGCTGCCGCTAGGATCAAATGGCTGGTGAGGGGGTTGGATTGGGGAGGAGTTGTTTGTTGAGGAACTGGGTGGAACTGGGTGGTGGTTCCAAATATCGTTTATTCTGTTTATTTTGCACCTCTACGTACTTGAATGTATTTGAGATGAGCTACACAAGTGTCCAATATATTTATATATATATATTATTATATATATAATATAATATAATGTATTTATATATAAACATATAATATATTTATAAACTATATTATAGAGATATTTTGTTTTTTTGGGCATGGATTGAACATGATAGAACCCCAAGCACGATGTTGGTGAAGTCACCACTATTTTGCAGAGAAGCTGCCTAGCGGCCTAGCTAGATTCTTGATCAGCGCCCCAGACACCTATCTGCTTAAGGGAGTTGCACTGATTGGTTCATTTGGAATTTATGATGAATTATCATTATCCCGAATTATCCCAATTAAACCACCATCGAATCATTGTATCCCGATGAAACCGCCGTGAATTTCCCAATTTTTAGTGGGTAAATCACTGTTTTCATTTTACCCCATGATTTTTGGCATTTTCCAAGTGGTTTTGCCGGCTTTCCCGGCCTTGAGGTCAGCACCACCAGATCGGCTGCGAGGACCACGCCCCTGCGCAGATCGTGAAGGTCACGCAAGATGGGTATGGGTGGGTACCCCAAAAAACCCAGGATTGCTGTGGAAAACCTGGGTTTGGGTCAAATGTTGGGTACAACTGAGATTAGATGCTCAATAATTACAGTGCAATTCTGGGTTGTGTGGGTCTGAAGTGTTGATACACAATTGCATTTGTGGGTTGTGTTTGGCAGAACATGCGCCACGATGATTGATCCGGTTTGCGCAGTATGTGGGTTTTCCTATGGTTTTTTCCCACCCCGTGGCTGTTCAGGGCACCTCGGAGCCCTTCAACTGCGACTGGGGGCGACACAACTGGCACATGGGTTGGTCGAACCCCAAGAAGATCTACTGCTGCCGCTAGGATCAAATGGCTGGTGAGGGGGTTGGATTGGGAGGAGTTGTTTGTTGAGGAACTGGGTGGAACTGGGTGGTGGTTCCAAATATCGTTTATTCTGTATATTTTGCACCTCTACGTACTTGAATGTATTTGAGATGAGCTACACAAGTGTCCAAAGTATAGTATTTATATATATATATATATGTATATTTATACATTTTTGCTTTTTTTGGGCATGGATTGAACATGATAGAACCCCAAGCACGATGTTGGTGAAGTCTCCAGTATTTTGCAGAGAAGCTGCCCAGCGGCCTAGCTCCTATCCGCTTAAGGGAGATCCCCATGAAACCGCCGTGAATTTCCCAATTTTTAGTGGGTAAATCCCTGTTTTCATTTTACCCCATGATTTTTGGCATTTTCCAAGTGGTTTTGCCGGCTTTCCCGGCCTTGAGGTCAGCACCACCAGATCGGCTGCGAGGACCACGCCCCTGCGCAGATCGTGAAGGTCACGCAAGATGGGTATGGGTGGGTACCCCAAAAAACCCAGGATTGCTGTGGAAAACCTGGGTTTGGGTCAAATGTTGGGTACAACTGAGATTAGATGCTCAATAATTACAGTGCAATTCTGGGTTGTGTGGGTCTGAAGTGTTGATACACAATTGCATTTGTGGGTTGTGTTTGGCAGAACATGCGCCACGATGATTGATCCGGTTTGCGCAGTATGTGGGTTTTCCTATGGTTTTTTCCCACCCCGTGGCTGTTCAGGGCACCTCGGAGCCCTTCAACTGCGACTGGGGGCGACACAACTGGCACATGGGTTGGTCGAACCCCAAGAAGATCTACTGCTGCCGCTAGGATCAAATGGCTGGTGAGGGGGTTGGATTGGGAGGAGTTGTTTGTTGAGGAACTGGGTGGAACTGGGTGGTGGTTCCAAATATCGTTTATTCTGTTTATTTTGCACCTCTACGTACTTGAATGTATTTGAGATGAGCTACACAAGTGTCCAAAGTATAGTATTTATATATATATATGTATATTTATACATTTTTGCTTTTTTTGGGCATGGATTGAACATGATAGAACCCCAAGCACGATGTTGGTGAAGTCTCCAGTATTTTGCAGAGAAGCTGCCCAGCGGCCTAGCTCCTATCCGCTTAAGGGAGATCCCCATGAAACCGCCGTGAAATTCCCAATTTTTAGTGGGTAAATCCCTGTTTTCATTATACCCCATGATTTTCGGCATTTTCCAAGTGGTTTTGCCGGCTTTCCCGGCCTTGAGGTCAGCACCACCAGATCGGCTGCGAGGACCACGCCCCTGCGCAGCTCGTGAAGGTCCCGCAAGATGGGTATGGGTGGGTACCCCAAAAAAAGCCCAGGATTGCTGTGGAAAACCTGGGTTTGGGTCAAATGTTGGGTACAACTGAAATTAGATGCTCAATAATTACAGTGCAATTTTGGGTTGTGTGGGTCTGAAGTGTTGATCAAAAGTGGAAACAACATGGACCAAGGCGAGGATTTAAGAGCAAACATGGGGGTTCAATTGAGCGAACGTCAGGACGTTGACCGAGAAAAAGGTGGAAAGTTTTCTTGAAACCTGGTGTATCGTCCAAAATGTTCCAAAATATGACAAAACAGCCTCCAAATTCGACGGTTTAGTTGACCAGCCACTTGTTGTCGCATTCCCTTTTTGAGCGACGGGCATATTCAGGTCCACATAGGTCCACGCTCGTGAGCATTTAACCATTTCGATCCACAAATCCAGATTCAGCTTTGGGGTGTATCCAATAAGAAATAGCAACGTCGAACAAGATAGATAGCAAACTCAATCCCTGTTCCGAAATAGCGAGAGTCTATGCTTTTCGAAGTTTTTCCAGATTTTGATCGTCTAGTTTTCATGACCAAGATAGCACAAAGCCCACCTTGGGGGGTGTCAGGAGCCGGCCTCCAATAGCAGCCACGCCATCCCTCCCTGGTGGGTGGTGGCTGGCGTCCACCCCGATGGCCCCGAGACGGACTATGGTGCCTGGGCCTGGAAATTTCGCCGAAGTTGTGGTGGTTTATGACTATGATTGAATATTATTGATGGGGATATATATGTGTATGTAATATACATATATATATAATTATATATTACATTAATCTATGTACGTATAATAGTTGATATATAGACATACGTACGTACAGACGTACGTACATACATGCATAGCCAATAATATGATATTTGTGATTATTTGTGTGTGCAGATCTAACCGTATGATATTTGGGTGTGTCTAAAAATGGGGTATAACTCCAGTTGATGACAATTTTGACTGGGAAGATGATGATAAACCATGGGAGCTTGGGGTACCCATGGACCTGTAGTTTCAGAGAAATCCACGTGTTCAACGGTCCAAGGATTTGGTGGCCTAAAAAAAGGGGGAAAGCCTGGAAAGAGGAGAGTCACAGTTTTTCCCAAGTTTGGTGAGACGATATGAGGGTGTTTTCAGCTCCTTATTTTGGGATGTAGGTATATACACTGAAAAGGATTATCCAGAAAAACATTGCCCCCCTTCAGCTTTAGGCCCCTTCACTCTCAGTTCCGTTCTCCACATTTGAAAACACTATTTTGCTTTTAGAAGCTACCCTCTGGTAAATAAACATAGACCCTGAAAATCACCAATGTTTAATGGAAACTAGTCTTCCAACCCCTATCTGCCAGGGTCTATGTTAATTTACCAGAGGCTAAGCTAAATACTATTAAATACTCATGATTCCCATTTTTCAATGTCAATTAAGGGAGTCCAAAATCCCCCAAAAAACTGGACCAAGATCTCCCAATCCGGATCGGCCGGCCGGGCAATACCCAGGCCCTTACCGCATGGCTGGCTTTTCTGTGGCGCAACAGCGACAGCTCCGAGCCAAAGAGTGGGAAGTGGTTGGCGAAGAACATATGCGGGTAACAGACAGTATCATATTATATGATTATCCCAATATATAATGATTATCATCATTATATCATTATATAGATATATATATATGATTCATATAGTGGGGATTGATTATCATCACAGCTTCCCAAGTGGAACAGAAATTGATGTATACACAGATATACTATTTGAATCTATGAATGATACTCATATATTCAACACTGAACATGGGGGCATCACTCTATCGCCCTGTTGATTTTGGGGGATAGCTGGGATGGCTGGATAATCACAACTTTCCCACTAGAGGTTTGCAATATTGCCAACACTGGTTATAATGTATATATATATATATACACATGCATGCATGCATACAGACAGACATACAGACAGACATACAGACATGTAGACATACATACATACAGACCGACAGAGACAGAGACAGAGACAGAGACAGAGACAGAGACAGACAGACAGACAGACATGCATGCATGCATGCATACATACAGTATATGTATATATGTACATATATATATATACACATTATATATATATACATACATATTTGCATCGTACTTAGCACCACAAGGATCCCCGTGGCCCATGTACTCGAAGCTCCAAGCAAGGTTTGGCGTCGATGCCACAGGACACGTGCAGAACCTGGGATTGCATTGGTAGTGCAGTAACCCCCAAAAGATAGAAAACTCATTTGGGTATGTCTGAAAATGGGGTATACCCCCAATTATAGCCATTTAGTAGGGATAATGATAAGCAAAACCATTGGGTGTAGGGGTACACTATTTTCAGACAAACTCATTTACCACTATTGCAGCAACCTCTTGTTTTCTATGTTTTTGGGTGCTATGAAGATTGTCATCTTGATCCCACTTCTAAAAGGAAACCCATTTGTGGATCAATAAGACCCTTAGGAACCACCGACTTGGGATTATCTTGTAATGTTTTTTTTTTCTTTTTGTATTTGGCGGTTTTGTTTGTTGGTTGAATCAAGTTAAATCAGTTTTTTATCCCCAAAAAAGTCCACGATCTTGATGTTTTCTAATGGCTAACACTTTTTTATTGGAGGGCTTATTGTTTCTTCATGTCCCATGGTTGGCGATTAAACCCTCCAAATCTTCCGAAAAAAATGATGAAACAAATGGACATCATATTCCCACCTGTTGAGGGGCAAACATATTTCCAACTATTTCGATCCTGGCGGGGAAACATCATATCTCTCCACTGTCCCTCGAAGTCCCATTAAATCCCAACTAAGTCCCACTAAGTCCCCATTAATTCCCATTAAGTACCATTAAACCATATTAAATGCACATCTATTTAACCGCCTTCGGCGTGTTCCGCCGGCCACCATGGAAAGAGCTATCCTGTAGGCTGCAAACAGCCCTTGCACAGGCCCAGCAAGAACATGGTTTTTGTGTAAAACATGTTTTTTTGTGGATAACACAGTTTTTGTGTAAAACAGCTTTTTGTGTAAAAGATGGTTTGGACGCAAAAACATTGGTTTTGTTCAAACCACGGTTTAAGTTTAAACCAAAGCATGTGTGTAAACCAGGGTTTTCGAAAAGGCCATATTGAGAACGGCTTTGAAAAAGGCTATGTTTAGAAAGGTTATTCGTGTAAAAGGTGTTCGGCACAAAAGCCAGTGGATCAAGTATTGGATATAAGAAGGGACGGAGCAAACCGATGGCAAGCACAACCAAAAATGGAAACAACAAACGAAATGACAGCAAGATGTGCAAAACCAAGCCGGTGTTGAGCGAGGCATGGGCAGAGTTGAGCCCACCACAACGTAAGGAAAGATCAAGACGAAACGAAGAAGAGCTAGGTGGAGAAGAAGAGCTAGGTAGAGAAGAAGAGCTAGGTGGAGAAGACGGGGGGGGGGAAGTGGGGGGGTTCAAGTTAGACGAGGCAAAAATCCGTGCCAAGGGGAAAGTCTAGACAAAAACAAAACAGACAGTACAACTACGAACAAGCAAGATCCACGACACACGCCGGCAGGCCGGCGGATTTGTAAGTTACCCTCTGGTAATTTAACATAACTATGGAAAATCACCATTTTAAATGGGAAAATCCACTATAAATGGGTCATTTTCCATAGCTATGTTAGTTTACCAGCGGGGTAACGGTCCCGTTTCCTGCCAGGAACTGGCACCGCTTCACCGCGGCCACACGCTCGCTGAAGCCCTGCATCGATCCGCACCTGGGGTGTGAAACGGAGCTTCGAGTTTCCCAAGCACATGAGAGGAAATGATATATATATATATATGATATATATATAGATACATGTATGTGATGTGATGTGATGTCATGTGATATTACAGGACATTATATATATATCATTATAATGAAATTGATGATATGATATAAGAAATGATACGAACCAACAGCAAGTGGGGATCTAATATTGTCGCGCGTGATCCGACTTATGGGGATTCGACTGTCAACAATTGGGTTTACACATCGGATAGGCAGATTGATCGGTGGCAACAACTGTTGTTGGTGGTTATAGGCTATAGGGACATTCCTCCCAAAAAAGATGCTCACAGAGAAGACTGGGGATGTAAGCTGTAAACAGTTTGAGTTGTTGCTGGTCAATTGTTGGGTTACTCCATTTTTGGGAATGATAAACATGACCATTGGCAGACAAAAGACAAACAGATCAACATTTAATGCTCAACATTTCAAAGGTCGATTTGGCATATGGTTATATAATGGGTCAACAATTGAAGGTCTTGGGGTCAAAATCGGGTTTATCTACAAATGTAACACATGTGTATATATATATATATGTATCTCTATATATATATATATACTTGTATTTCTGTGTGTGTGTGTGTCTGTAGCAAACACGAAGAACATCCGTGTGCCCTGGATCCCTGAATTTGAACTTGATCCACTTATATGACAAATTAGCCCAGCTGAGGGGTTCCGTTGTATTTGAATGAGCACCAGACAAAGGAGGTACATTTCAATGAGTTGACCCCCTGGACCATGAAACCCAAGACTTCAGGATCCGCTACACAACAAAATACAACACAATGTCAAGACACAATGGGCTAATGATCCCAATCTGCCTGAAGGAAGAGGCAAATCGTCCCATTTGGAGCGTTGTAGATGTTTTGCGTATTTTTTTACAGGTGAGCAGTACCTCATAAAATCATTTTTTTAATTTTCCTTGCCAGGACTTTTGCTCCCATTCACTGCGGGCAATTGAGGGAGTGAGATCTATCACCGTGGATGTTTAAAATCCTCACGGTGTTTCGATCTGATGCTTTCGGCCTGCCTTGGTAGTCAGGAAGCAACAGCAGATGGGACTCAACCAGAAGGCAAAGTGCTGGGGGGAACTTCATTGGGAGCATCAACCCCGAAATGTTGATCAGTTCTGAAATTGCAGTGCTGACGCAGGATTTGATCAGGGATTTTGGCGCATCAATTTTGTGTCGCCTCTTCTAGGGGATTTGTCCACCTTTCAGGGAAAGTTTTGGATCCACTATGAGGTGAGTACCTTGAGGGTGATTGTTCCGACCTTCTAGCGGCGAATTCCCTTAGCAGGTGGTGACCTTTTGCGATCCACAACATTCTTTGGCACTCCAGAACCTTACAAGTTGGCTACTCAACCACGTCCAAGCCACCAGTGTCAAAACCTGGGTTGATAAATCCTGGTTGATGGTTTTCAATGGGCTACCCCCAAAATCATCCAAGATTAGTGATTAAATCACTACTGGAAATGCCCTCAGCATCCCCAGCACTCGAATCGAATCCTGGGTTATGAACAACAATTGCTGATCTCGGAGTTCATGCCGGGAAAGCATGGGAAAGCTACAATCCGACGGTTAACATTTTCGCAAGATCAACATCAATGATTCCTAGCAGTACTATATGTAGGAGCGTTTCCAACATTCACCAACACATATTGAGACATTTTCTCAAAATTGGGATGTTACCCACACATTGGCTTCACTATTGATTAATTATTACCTAATCCTAGCAATTTGATATAGTATTCCCAACATTAGACTCTTCCCAATGGTTCATTACACCAATGGTACACCAACATAGATAACGAATATCATATTATCATATTATGAACATCCACTAACAGATCATTAACACTATACATATATAGTTTATAATATAGTAATATATATATATATAAATTTACGAATCAATATTGGAATACCATACATCACTGGTTCATGAACCACCGCTCTTCCCAACAGGAGATGATGCACCTGCTGGGCGACGTGCTCACCGATGCCTGGAAGGAGCTGAGGAAAGACGACCCCGCGTGGCTCGTTGATCCCATGGATCCCGCGTGGCATTGAAATTTAAAGCGATCCCTTAAAGGCATCCCCAGAATGCTGGGGAAATATATGGAAATATGGCATTTTTTTTTTTGAGATCCCATGATGGGATCCCGGTTTTTTTGCCAGATGGATGATTTTTTTGGGACTCAGTTTTGCGGAATGGAAATGTGAGGGAAACCTTACAGTAAGTCTCGGATCAATGGGATACGCTACAGGTTGACTTTGAGGTTTTTTTAGGGGGTGACAGACCACCAGATGGCAACACATATATCAAGCCACGAAATGAGGGATATGTTGATCAGATCGATGGAATGGAAGAAGATTCCGGACCATTGGGTACTTATGTACATTCTACGCAGTAGCCAAATCACGAAAACAACATCCACCCTCGGGTAATCATGATAATCTGACCTGACAAAGGACGAAATCCTCACCTGTGAACTGAGGTTGCAAGACTGGACTCGCCTGAGACCCTTGGTTTCAACAGTTCCAACTCAACCTGGTGAATGAGAAACATCATGATGAACCATTGGAAAACTTGGGTACCCTATGTTTGGACAAAGCCCAATCATGATGTTTGCAAATCAAGGAACTCAGCAGAAATGGCAACCCAACTGTTGGTAGATTCATGCGGGAAAGTCTCTTGGTTGTGATTCACCCAGAGTTGGTGATTTTTTTCATGTTTTGGCCCCCGCGATGCTAAGGAAGCAACTGTCAAGAGCAGTGCATGGCTCATGTGCCTTGGATGTGCTGTTTTGTTGTCACAGATATTGCTACATTATGCTATATTACCATCTACTTGTAGTAATTTAGAACGGCTAGCTGGAAAAAGCCAAGCTTAAAATAGGACAATACGGGATACTCATGCAGAAATACGTAGACCTTGCTAGATATCTGGGTTGGAAGACAATTCCGTTCTAAATGTTCTGAGACTGTGTACCCTCTGGTAATTTAACATAGCTATTGAACATGGCTATTTATAGTTCATTTACCCACTAAAAATGGTGATTTCCAACAGCTATGTTAGTTTACCAGAGGGTAATCCTCAGGGTCAAGCTGTTAGGGTGACAGTGTCACCCCCCAAAAAATCCACCAATCTGGCCTACCCAGACCTGCGGAATCCAGGTGCTGAGTTGGAGCCTGCGAACTCTCTGGGCCACCGGAGAGCTGTTGTCTCAGCAACTTCCCTGCAGTGGAGTTGCCTGCATCCTGGTGTCATAGCTATGTTGGATGTTTTTTTGGGAGCTAAAACATGCTAAAACCATCCATGATGGACCTATTTGCTGGCTTATTCCAACAATAGGGTGGACTGGTGTTCTCTTTGGAAAAAGGACGGATTTGACGGATTTGGGGATAAAACGGAGCCGCGCGTGCATGCTGCATGAAAATGATGGCCCAAACATTGATCTCGTTTGAGTTGTTTGAGAATGGTTCAAACCATTGTTAGTAACCAAACTGGGACACCTCAAGGTTTGAAGTCCGAAGTTGTCTTATATATTTGCCTACATCTCAGATGGTGCAAGAACTTGCCAAGCAAGAATCACGTCCACAGACTAGATTACTCTTGATTAGCCGTTCTTGTTTACAGGGTTCTTAGTTGAATGGAGTTAGATGAGTTGTTGCAGGTCACGAACAGAAGATGTTGGAACCTGGAAGATCTACACCTGATTGATTGGGGAAAGTAGCTATCCACAGGAGTTGCACTACGATGATTTCATATTTAACTGCTTGGTGGTTTGGAACATGGCTTTTATGACTTTCCATTCAGTTGGGAATAATCATTCCAACTGACGAACTCCATCATTTTTCAGAGGGTTTGAAACCACCAACCTGGTAGGATAGTAGGTACCTAAACATCCCACAACGACACAACTGGGTCGCTTGGACGCTTGGACGCACCGCACCGTTCCCACCGTTTTTGAGGGGCGGCGGCGCCAGCTTCGGGTCCGTGCTGGCCGATGCGGTGCGCACCTGTTATCCAGGCGGGAGAAAATATCAAGGGACAAGGGATGGCAAGGGGCAAGCTATTGCATGGAACAGCCAGCATGAGAATTCCCAAGCTCTGGACTTGAAATGGTCTGATATTTTGGCCATCCAGCTATCTGTTGATACTCGTACTGCTTGAGTTCTAACTTCTACGATTGTAGACAGTGGCTTTGCACCTTTTGCATCTCTTACACGCACGGCTTGCTTTTGTGAATGACATCGCCAAGGATTCTTTGGGTGGTTCAACCACCAATGGATGTGGGGGGTACCATATTTCAAGCCACACTCATATAGATGTGGGATTCCCATGGGAGTCGTTTTGTGAGGTTTCCGCACCTTGCGAGCGGATGAAGTGGCCCACAAGGCTGCGACCGGGATTTTGCCCACAAAAAAAGGGTGAGTAAAAACAGTAAACCCAGATTTCAGTGGTTTATCCTGCTTAAATCCAAGTAAAAAAAGAACCCAACCAGCCAAACTTTGGGTTTGACCCAAGGGGGGTTCAATATGTAGCCGAAACCACTGGGAAAGCAATGGGAGCACAACAAACCAAGCCTCAGGGACCCCGGAATTTTCGGGGATTTTCCTTGCAGGCACTTCTTTGGAAATGGCCTCTAAAGATCTATTTCTGGGCCCGGCCACTGTTTCGCATATAGTTTCATTGCAGCTCTAACGGCTGTGTCCGACGTCATTTTTTTTCGAAGGCTTTGATAATCCAATATACACTGACTTGGGGTTGACCTCATCTAGTGATCACGGGCCCGCTTCCCTGTATATACATCCTGTTTTTGCTTTTTATAATTATATATGTTCCCGAAGTTTGGCTGGCGACATTCCAGTTTTTCTTGGTCCAATCACATTTCTGATTTATCAATTCTCCCGTTATTGCTTTGGCATACTATCCCCATGACGATTCATGTATATCCATTGCCTTTAGGTCGTACCTGCGGTTTGTTATCCATTCATCGATGGTGCAACCACTGACGAACGCAAGGTACTACCCCTCAAATCCAAAGATGGTTTGATGATTGAATTCCAAACAGTTGGATGGTAAAATCATGCTTGGTAATTGGTATGAACAGCGTATTTTTTTCGATGGTAACATGTAAAATCCAACTTCTTGACGGCAACATAGGAACGCTTGAAAGCTTCATTCCTTCGACCAAGGTCGCAGATTTTTGACGGCCAAAGTGGACATTTTGTAACGGGGGTTGATACATGTCCTGTGTGGGGGATTTTGAAGATCACTTTCAAGTAGCTGTTGGAAGATTTTATCATTAGTTGGGTGTGAAATGAGGAAGAGGGAGGTTGACATTTGGAGGTTAGGTAAAATGGGGCTACCCCCAGTTATCATCCATTTTTTTTTTTAAAATCCCGTTTTCTATGGTTAAACCATCCAGCTATCCAGCTATTGGGTGCCCCTTTTTTAGGGAATCCCCATGACCTCCACCGCAGTTTTGTGGAGGTGTCGAAGTTGGTCTCCAAAGCCCTGGAGGAGCGACTGCCCATTGCGGCGGCCAGTGGTGACTTTGCGAGTCGCAGCTCGGTAGTCCGTGGCGGACCGTGGCGGAGTCCATTCCCCAAATCACCATTTTTTTGGGTGATCATTTCCCATTCCCAAATGGTATAGGATTTTGTTTTTTCCCACATTCATGGGGATTTAGTAACTAACCACGAGGATCATTTGGTATCATGGGGATAAATTTCTAAAAACCATGATATCATGGGGATATAACTAACCATGATATATAGGGTATGTCTGAAAATGGGGTTTACCCCAAATGGCCAAATTGATAGGGAAGATGATGACGAACCTTGGGAATTTTGGGGCATCCTATTTGCAGACAAACCTGTGAGGTCGCTTGGCCTACAACCAGGGGCCCAGCTGCTTGGAGCCTGGGCAAGATGAGGAGATCACGACACACACATTTTGGGTAAAATTCCTTGGGCTGGAAAACTTGGGTAAACACCACATGACCCAATTTTTTTCCCCACTTTGGATGGTGAAAAAAAAGTCTTCGCTGTGAGGACTGGGTGTTGGGTGAGGCCCTATATAGACTTCGATATGCGCATGTTTGTTCTGCTGCTATATGTTTGTCCATGTAGTTGTATCTCTCTTTCTGGAGAAATATATTTCAATACTTGAAACACCTAGAGATACTAAGGAAACATGTGGATGTATTCGCAGGTAAAGCGAACCCATATATACGTATGTATTGAGTACATTTCAATGTGTGTACATATACTGTATATATATATAAACGCACCTTTCTTTCGTGGTATCAACTGTTGAATTTTGGCAGCAATCGACGGCCTTTTACATTCTACTCAGGTTCTTGGTTTGAAGCTCTATTTCACCCCCGGGCTTCAAAGAGAAGACGTCAAAGTCAGCAGGGTCAGATGAGAAGAGCGTTTCAATTCCAGCTGGCAATGTCAGAGTATATGTCAGATAGAATGTCATAAAGAATGCCAAATCGAATGTCAAAATATATGTTAAATAGAATGCCAGATAGAATGAACTGATATATGTCAGATAGACTGCCAAATGGTATGTCAGAATATGTCAGAATGTATGTCAGATAGAATGCCAGATGCAATGTCAGAATAGAACGTCGGTTGGTGGGGATGGAAGAAAGTAATCAGTTCTCCAGTGAGTAGTTTTAAGCAGTTTTCATATGGTTAGACCACCAATTGTACCATCATCTGGCAGGAGCAGCGGCAGCAGTTCGCCACCCAACTGGAAATGGCCGTGGAGCAGGCGGTGAAAACGGCCGTCTCCAAGCGGGGCGCCCAGTTTGATTCATACCATGGGGGTGAAACATGGGTATGGTTTCGACAGTGAGAAGCGGCATTTTTTACATGTTTTTGTGATTAACAGTCTAATTTGGGGGGCATCCCAAAAATGAATCAAAATGGGTATGTAGATGTTTCTTTTTGGGATCCAATAGAAGGAACTGTTGTCCTGAATATGCGGGGAACCAAAAACACATTTTTTTTGGGAACAATTAATCACATGGTTTCTACTCCATGTCAGGTGAGGTTGTACTGCATACGGATTCGATATTGTTGATGAATATTGTGCGAATGTTCTCTTTGCACGACACAACCATCTACAACATGTTCGTTGAAACATCTCCGTGGTTCCCATCCTTCCGTTCGACCAGACATATTCTATGGACATGGGAAAACATGAACACAGACAAACAAATGGGTTTTGTCTGAAAACAGGATACCCCAAAATCCAGTGGTCACTCATACAATCATCATATTTCCCATAAAAAACAACCATTTTGGGATATAATCACCATATTTCCCATAAATAAACCAGCCATTTTGGGATATATCCCCAGTTTCAGGCACGCCCAGGATATCACATGTCCCATCTCAACATCCAGGAGCTGGGGCACCATGGAGCAATCCGCGCGGCCCTGCCAGCAGACCTGCCGCCGTGCGGTGGTGCGCCAGGCAGAAACATCTGGATGTGGGTCAAAATGGAAGACCGTTAAGGGGACCACAGATGTGAATGTCTAGTTTAGTATTAACCATCCATAATTTTGGGGTACCTAATTTTGACCCATACCCATCTCATGTCGGGATGTTTTCGGTTTCAATGATGTTTGCACACCCAAAAGGATCGATTCGGTTGGGTTTCCCTGCAAAAATCCGAATGTTATGATATTTTGAAAGAAAATATGGTTCTTCTCTTCAAATAGCAAGTCTTGCCTGCCGATTTTCCCTTTCCTAAGTGGAGGCCGCAGAGATGTTGTGGGACGCCGGTTTGCTGGCGCGAGGCGGGAAATTTGTTGCGGGTGGGCCCCCAAGGTTCACCTTGAATAGGAGAACCATGGGAGAAACATGAGAAACCACGGATCTTTTTTGGGGTACCTATTTGCAGACACACTAAAGTCACTAAAGACGATTGGAAGCACAGATCCTTGGAAGCACAATTCTGGTAATGTTTAGGAATCGACGATTCATTTTTTTGGGAACTCTTTGTTTGACCCATCCCAAGTTGGTTGAACGGACATCATGATCATCAACTGGGAATCCCGCCACCAATGGGCTGGTTTTCACCTCGCTGGATAGAAGTTTTCCCAGCAAGGATCCACTTTGACAGGGGTCTGAAGTTTTGGTGGAACAACGTGCTGGGCTGGAAAATCCGCCATTTGCCAAAAATAGTTGACAGAAGTTTTTTACCAGTTGTTGATAATTAGTGTGGACCTAGTGGTTTTTCCTCTTCGTAATGAGGCGGCACGCAACTAAATTCACCAATTCTGCAAAGCAGCGCTAGCAAACTCGCTAGGTTTGCGCTAGTTTTTTTTTTTCACACCCATGTTCAAGGATATTTTTTTGTGTTCCTGTCTGCTTGTTGTTATTTCAACATGAAGAAAAGTCCAGATGTAACACTTAGCTCCTTAAACCTAAGGATGTCTTAGTGAATTTCTGTGCTACTCAACAATTTTCCTATATTTTTGAGGTTGCGGCTCAACTTTGGGAATTTGTACGTAATTTACCCGCTAGATCCCCGCTAGCAATGCGCTAGCAAAAGCTTCAAACAACGGCTTTGGTTGACCCGTGACCCAGTCGCCACCAGAGAACTTGTAGTTTATCCTGTCTGTTTGACAAAGCAACAGTGACAGCAAAGGCAACGACCAGCTCTGCATATATTCCAGTTCCACCACTAACAACTAGCAGCGGCACTCACTTCATATAGACGCGCGTTGGCATGTACTGCAGGTTTTAGCTACGGCTTCAAACATGAAAGATAAAATGCAGGGTTTCAGACTATTTAGGTCAGTCATGGTTTTAAAGGCACAATAAGAAGCGGCACGCAAGGAATTACGATTTATCAACAAAACCAGGAAAAGACATTTTGGCAAACCGTATATATATATATATAATATACGTTGATGTTTGCCTTGGACATCTTCTCCCTATGCACCCTTTGGTGCTTCCAGAAATTGTAGCATCGGCCAGGAAATGCAGACATGCTGGTGATGACATCTGTTGAGGCCTAGGGATGGGCCCGACGTTTTGACCAGTACCATACCATACTGTACCGTACAATACCATGCGATAGGATACGATGCATACCTTACAGTATATGACATTTGCATTATATACATGACATTGACATTGTTTGGATTTACATTTTGCATTGGATTGCATTGCAATGGATTGCAGTACAGTATATTGCACTAAACACACAATATAGATATATACAGACATAGACATCGAATGATATCAGATTATATCATATAATGATGTATCTACTGTCTATATATATATATATTATATATATATATAATATTTTTCATTCTCTCTAATACACAATATATATATACACGATATATAAGATATCCTCCTCCTCCTCCTCCTCCAACACAGCTTGATTGTCAGGGTGCCCTGGCGGCCTGCCTGGTGAATTTGCCCAAAGATGCGGCGGAAGCCTTGGCCGGCGAGGCCGCTTCGGTTCCTCAAAACCGATTGCCATGCGGTTTTTGTTGGGGCGGACAATGGCTGGAAAACCATCAGACAATGGCTGGTTATCATAGATTCTCATCAACAAAAACATACAAAAACCATCAGATTAGTCCATCATAGATTATCATAAACCTCTCAACCATGATATTATTTGACCTATCATAAACCCATCCACAGGTTATCCAAATTGGAATCCCCAGAGGTCTCCATTTGCCACAGCTCACCCTGTTGAAATAGGCCATGCTGCACATGAGACCTCCGCAGCTCGGCGATGATGACTGTACTGCAACCAATGAAGATTGCAATCGGATAAACACATCCATATTTTCATATTAATCCATATTATATAGTTGATTTGATATAGGATATAGATGGATTAATATGGATGTGTCTATAGGATTAATAATATTGACTATGATATAGGATATAGATGGATATAGGATATTAATGTATCCTAACGTATATAGATATGACAAACATTTGTTGTGAATACTCTCGATATACTCTCGATTTTCTTGGATCCAATCCATCCGTCGCCAAGGACTGACGATGCCCAACCTAGGCGCGCAGGGGGAACGACTGAAGATGGTCAACCATGCAGCTCTTGGGGAAAGTGATGCTGGTGTTTGGAAGATAAGATTGATGCTTAATCAAAATTAACATTGGGAAGTCAAGATGCTAGTAACATTAGTTTAACATTAGTTTAACATTGATGCTGGTGTTGATCCAACTAAGATGGGACCCTGGGAAATTGCCAAGTGTTCCACCCCTTTCCGAAGATCCCTGTTAGCCCTCGGACGCCTGCCGCCCTTTTGAGGGCCTTGGCGGGCGGCTTGCCGAGTGAGGGTGACGTCTTGGTGTGAGGCACGGCAAGAGCTGATGATTGATACTGTATCTGCTGTGGCTGGAAGTCCGTCCTTTCGGCGAATAAACGTAGTGTACTGCTTATAAGCGGTTCTGTGAGAGGTCCTTGACCGCAGATGTTGCCTGTTTTTTTGTGAGAAAATGTTGTGTCCGGGTAAAGCCACATGAGACGACCTTGTACGAAGATCTTGTGGAAGTCCTTATGCCGAGATCTAACCCTGACTGCGAAAGTCGCCGGCCAGGGCGGCTTCGACGATGGCTTCTGACGTCTGCCAATGACGGCGCCGCGCTTCACGCCATTGATTCTGCAAAAAGAAGCTGCTGGTAGTATCTGGTGGTGGGGATATTATGGGGATGAGGGGATGATGTTGCTGGGATGTTTTTTTTTGCCCCACTGCATGAAATGATTGAAGTAAGGACAAAATAGGTACAGGACATGGCTGGGAGACGGGCCCTCGTACTCTGCACCGTCTCTGGTTTTTCTGCTGCGCACAAGATACAGGTCATTTCGACATTTGCCATTTGTTTCAGTCCGATCTTGATTGGTACCGCCGTAGTACTCCCAGTCTCCCTCCAAAATGGGTGGTTGAACAAGCGCTTGGCAAAAAGTCTTTGGGCCCCAGCGACTTGACCCATAGTCATTGCTGAAATCCGTATTTTTCACGATTAGATTTGACTGGTTACAGAGAATTCAATGCATTGTCTCTTGATCTCCATATTGGTTTACCCTCTGGTAAACTAACATAGCTATTGAAAATTGCCATTTATAGTGGATTTACCCATTAAAAATGGTGATTTTCCATAGCTATGTTAAATTACCAGAGGGTATCCAACTATCCAACCCTTGTCATTTTCCCATGCTTTTCCCGGGAGGCACGGCAGCATCATGATCGATCACTTGCTGGACAGCGAGCAGATTGAAGCGCTGCGACTCTCCATCCCCGTGCGCCGGCGGTTTTTTTGACAGCGAGGAGTTGGTGGCTTGAGTCGTTGTAGCAACCGGACCCACAACATGGATCAACATGGGTTATTAAACCATCAATATACCATGGTTTGTTCCATTGGATCATCGATATTCCACTATGGGCCATGAGCATCTTTATATTGTTCACTCTTAGAATCTCTTAAGTCACTATGACATGATGGCTAAATTGATCATATCATGATCTCCCAATCGTGATATATGATTTTCGGACATATTCAATTCACTATTATCATTAGTGACTCAAATGCAAGATATATTATTACAATATTTTCAGATAGACTGTTCCTCATTATCACATCATGCAGGTTTCTTCAATTTTTTCATGGGGGGGATCCCCAAGGCACCTTTTTGGTTTCAATACTTTGAGTCATGGTCATCCATGACAACTGGATGATTTGGAGACACCTGGAGTGACTTAAGAAACCTCCATATATCAATCTCCATTGAATGGGAAATTCCATGGATTAACATTGATGAAAACCGTTTATATAACGATTAAGCCATGGATTTTGGGGTATCATATTTCCAGATAAACCCATGGGATATATGTCTCATCTCCAGTGAAAGCCATGACCCGCAACCTTCAGGGCGGCGCCGAAGATGCGCCGCGCAGCCATGAGCTGCGGACGCAGGGGTTGGCCAGCAGATCGCCAGGTGGGGAGATAGGATGGGATCCTGTTTGAATTAGCCAAGTTACTGGAGATTTTTGGGTTTAACTAGTCATTTTCATCGGGGACATGATGATAGGCCGTTGCAATTTTGGGTAGTCTACTTTCAAACCCTTATAGCAACCCCCAGGTTTCACAAGAATGTCCGGGATTCCTTTAATAGGATCGAGCCTCAAAGCGTTCGGCCTGGTTTGGCACGAAACGGTCATCTCAGATGGAGAAGTGAAATCTGAGTAAAAATAGTGATGACTTACTCCGATATTTTTTGGGACCACTAGAACTAGCATTGAAGTATGACACGTTGGGATTTGACCACTGAAACCTACCATTTTATGGAACGATTACGGGAATTTCATGGGATATGATATCATCAAAATATTGATCATATTACGACAATATGATATGTATTATTGATGGGAACGTTGAACATCATGGTAACATTATGAGAGTGGTATAGGCATATTGATATTATCCAATTTGATTCATTTTGATATATATATATAATTATATATATACATATATATATATAAGTTATGGGATAGGGAACCTTTCAGACGACGCTTGGGTTGGCAGGTTTGGCGGAGGTGGCCACGCATCCCTTGGTGATGCAACTTGCCAGGCCAGCCATGCGCACATTTTTCCCAGAACACCGAATCTCAGTACGTTCGAGTGCGTGAAAAACCATTTTTTGTGCACATGAAAGCAAAAGACAGACTATTTCCATCCATTTTTCCAGACTTTTTTTGTTTCAGTTCGTGAGTTTTATTATCATTCGCCCAGATCTATAACCATCTATTGTGAAAACCACCATATACGATGGTTAATTACCAATGTTGTTTCTCTATATTTCTGCTAACCATCTTTTATGAAAAACCAACATATATATATATGTATATATATATATATGTATATATATATATATGAAAAACCAACATATAATATGATGGTTAATAATGGTGTTTCTCCCGCCATTGGGCCACTGGAGTTCTGGGAGGCGGCTGCTTTCGCCGTGCCTCCAGCTGGCGGAACTGGAGAGTTGTCTGGGCCCAGCGGTGGATGCTTTGGAGAGGTGTGGGATTGATTTGGATTTTGATATGTACACTATATATATATATATCATATCATATCATATCATAACATATCATATCATAATGATATATATATATACTATGTACGGATATATATATATAATATAATATAATATAATATAATACAATATAATATAATATAATATAATATACACATGAATACATGTGGTAATTTAGTCAATGGTGAATAACATGCGGCATACGACTGGTGAATATGCATACTATTATATGATATTATATGCCTATTGGATACTATTGGGCACATGATCTTCATCCCAAGGCAGGAATAATATGGGATATTGGCAGTTGTGATTGGGGTTTCAAATCGGGATGGTACAAGGAGAACCCTCACTTCAAACACTGTAAAAAATGGCATCGCATAGAGGTATCAACGCCCCCCAAAAACAAACAAGTCACACCCCAGAAGGACTATGACTGTCCCGAAAAAACGACCACATCTCTGCTAGTTGATTAGGCATTTGCGTCGTCCAATCCAGATGGAGATGATCATTCCTTGACCTATCCCCAAACGATTAAAAGGCACCAGCTGGGTTTGTCCACAACTGTTGATGAACAAAATGACAGTTGTAACCAGAGAAACTGCCTTTTCTGGACCACCGGATTCTTGGGTACCAGATTTGGAAACGGTCACCCATGTGGGTCCCAATTTGTTTCCAGGAGACTGCAGATTTTCATCATTTTTAGTCCGAACATTTGTTAAGCATTTATACCCTCTGGTAAACCAACATGGCAATGGAAAATCACCATTTTTAATGGGAAAATCCACTATAAATAGCCATTTTCAATAGCTATGTTAAATTACCAGATGGTATACATATTTTAGGGCTACTGAATTTCGCCCGAGGCCCCCAAATTTATCATTCCTTTAGGCCAGAAAATTATCCCATATGAATCAATGTTTAATCCATATTAAACCATATTAAACCCAGCATTTCCTATGGATTCTTGGGGCGTGAAATCAACACGTCCAAGGTCGAACAGACGTGGACTTCGTGCGCAAGGAGCTCGAGGCCTGCGCTGGGGAGAAGGTTTGAAAAACTCAGCTGGGTTCTATGTTTGAATATGAAATCACAGCTGGGTTCTAAGCAATCAATGGGTGCTTGTGTCAGCTACTTGAACTGATAATTTTTAAAGATTTGACTTGACACATTTTTGCAAATGAAACATGTAATAGATGCTGTATGAAAGGAGGATTTTCTTAGCATTTGCTAGGTTTTTCTAGGATTTACTGGGATTTGTGTGGTTTTCTCAGGTTTGCATTGGGAAAGTTTGGGAAAGTTATGGATGCTATGATTTTCCCACAACCCCAAGCATGGGTTGAAGATACCCCATGTTGATACACTCCTCTTTGTGAAGCAATGATCATGGCTTTTCGATGGTAGCAAAAAACGCTTAACCAAGTAAACACCCATGGTTTAGTGTGTGTATATGAGAACTTCGGTGTTTCACTAGAGAAAAAACATGAGAAAATACCACATATTTTGGTGTCCTCCCCACCGATCCTTGGAACAAAATTCTCCAACCCCAAGGGCTGCCGACTGAGACGACGGAGCCGACTGAGGAGACCACCTGGCATGTGGTGCATCCCTACCGCTTAGCCGAGTTTCCGGGAGTGGCCGGGGCCTTAAGAAGTCCGGGTCACCGCTAAGATGACAGGACTGGTCTAGATATGTCTAGATTCCTAGATGGCAGTGTGTGAAAACCAATAGTACACCTGTAGTTCACATCAAAATAGCTGGGATTTATGGATGTTCATCCCACGAAAAACGGTATTATTGATCCATAGCCAGATCAATGACAAAAAGGGTTGTACGTCTCTATCCGCTCCAAAAAGCGTTGACGATCAATCCCATTTGAAGTGATATGAGCTGCTTAGCCACCAAACACACCAACTTGGCCAGCATTCGAAATTGCATGTGATGGATTATATGGGGATGGATCAGAACCCATTCGAAGGTATTTGGAGAAGACGAACATACATCACTAGCTGATGTTCACCAGCGTACTGCACCGGGGTTTACAGGTCTTGGTGATAATCTGGTTCGTTTCCCCACGGCCCACGGCTAACCCCAATGAGGTGGACCCCAAGATCAACATCACGGCCCGGGAGCCCGGTAGAGCACCGCCCAATAAAAAACGATCTTTGTGGATTCTTGGGATCATCCAGACCCGTAAAACATCAAACTTACCAGGACTTACCATCAGTAAAACACGAGTAAACCATACCCAATTGGTGTTTATTATGGGTTTTGCACACTGGCAAGGGATGGATCCAGCCTCAAAAGCAGCGCAAGTCATCAAACCAAGTGGACTCCAAACGGGGGTTCAACAAGGTGGCGCGCTGCTGGTCCTTGAGTTCTGGCTTATTAGCAGTACGTATACGAATACTATATATACACATTATACACATGGTACAGCCCGCAAACCCTACTGTGTGTATCTGTGTATACGTATACGTATAATACATACACACCCACCGAAAGTAGGCCCCGTGCTTTAGAATCGGAACAGCACTTGTGCCCTCATTTGCGCGATGTTACCCTTTTTTTTCCCGGCAACACATCACTGCCGCATCGATTCTATGGGACGCATTGTTGTTTTTAAAAACAGACAATGCTCATGACTCACTCGGATTCATCATCTTATAGTGGGATTAGTGGGTGTAACCCCAAATTAACATACTTAATTTGTTTTGGGATGTTTTGGGCATGGTTTCTTAGTTTCTTATCATCAGCCATTTTGTTTTGAGAATGGCTCAGCATACTCCACACTCGGCAAAAATTGGTACCACCAGGTGGACCCAGCCCAGCTCCAGCTGTTCTGCGAGGTCACCTGGTTCTTAGATCAGTTGGACACCGAGAACTCCACGTGGGCCTCAGTGAAGGCCATGGCATGGGAAAAGGGAGGGGGAGGACACCACTTCTTTTTTTTTCGTGGGAAAAGAGAGGGGGGAGGGGCGAAGTTGTTTTTTCCTCTGGCTTGGATGTGTCGGGTCTTCTTTTTAGCTGGGTCTCTTGATTCTAGCAAAGCAACTTGGAGTGGACAGGTTGACAGATCTGGGATTTTTGAGGTTTTGCTTTGGAAGTTGGACCATTGAGAGCTATGGAATTGCTGGATCAGCCCAACTTTGATGCTTCCTTTTCCCATTGTTTTGCATGATAGATTTGTTGGGAAAGTTCCTATATATACCTTGTTGCATTTTTTTGCACGGTCGTTTGTGTTTGCTTCCCCAGATATGGATGCAAAAAGGAACGCAGACAGGAAACCACTACACTGAGCATGAACCCAGTGGCTCCACATCCAAAGTTTTCAGCTGAAATCCGAAGTGTTGTTTGTTTTCTCAAAGTGAAAACTACTGGGAAATCCAACTTCCAAAATCAAGATCTTTCAGAATCTTTCATCACTTTTCCAAACTTTCGGATTTCGGACAACTCCCATGGTTTTTTTCCCCTCCAAACGCGCCCAGTGGTGGCTTCGCCTCCAGGCACCGGAGGTGGCGGGCCGCCTGCCGCAGCTGCCGCAGCACTCGTCGCCCGAGGAATTGCAGGTGCGGCGTGGGATGAGAATTTTCTCATTATAGGTATAATATAGGTGAATCAATGTGAATCATCTATTTATAGATGATTTTTGCCTAAGTTTCTATCGTTTTTTTTTTGGGGGTGGTGCCAATCTGGCAGATATTTTTTTGGATTTTTTGGGATACGGTTAGGATAAACAAAAATTGATTTCAGGGGAGAATTACATGGAATACAGCGGGACATATGTTGTTGTTTTTTGACCACCAGAACATGATAATTAAGTGGCCTCAATTTCTGGAGTCACCGATACTGAATTTTGGAGTTTATGGGCATGTGGGCTGTGACTTTACGTTTTGCAAAACAAAACCAATGAGCATATTTGGTAAACCTGGGCCATGACTTGAGGGGTTCCGCCCAAAAGTGATAGATAGACTTTGCTTTGAATTCAACCAATTCGACAATGCGCAGGGTAAGCCTGGTTCCGCTCCATTCCCCGTTGGTATTTTTCATGGGTGGGATCCTTCTTTGCAGCGTAAGCCCGATATCCTTGCTGGCGAAATACGTGTTAGATTTTGAGCGGGTCAGTTGCTATTTTTAGAGCTGAACTCCAACATTCTTCGTGGTTAACGTTCCTCAATTTACGTTGCAATTCACATCCATATCCCAGAACTGTTGGACAAATCCCAATGTTTGGAGGATTCAACTCTTTATTCTCGATGGTCAAGATCACCATTTTTGGGAGGGTTTCCAATAGCAGAATTGGTTGACTTCAGGGTCAATTTATAGCACAACAGTGTGTATTTTGAGATAATCATAGAGTTGGATGATGGGAAAATTTACAGGAAACCCCTATATTTGATGGTAAAAATCCATGGGTTTCCTGAAGACTTCCCCCCTCCAGTGATCCAGCCGGATCCAGCCGGCAAGGCCATCGCGCAGAACGCCCAGCCCTTGCTGGCCAAGGCAGGTGCTGCGTGGCCCGGAGCCCTGGGGGCCCTGGGGGCTGTAGCATGTTTTCCGAGAAACCCACTACGGGGATATCTATGGAAAAATCTATCACATATATCACATACAACGTTTATCAAAGTTTAAAGCTGTATATAGCTGTATATATATATATATCTTATAATATATATATATACTGTACATACACAGATTGATATCTCATATAGAACATGGGTGCAGAACCATGCAAACTACTCGCCGACTGCTTAGCAAGTGCATCCGCAAGTGGCTATTGGTAATGACTATGCCATTTCATTTCCATCCTTTCCTAGAATGATGATCCCAGTCACTCTCTGAAATTTTTCTTCAGGGGGCTTCAGGGGTCTGAAACCACCACTAAGTCCGTAGATGTGATTGATCCGATTCACCCAGACTTTGTTGGTATCCCCAAGAGTAGTTTCCCAACGGTTTCGAGACCTTCCCAACGTTGTGGAGCAGTGCTTGGCTAAGGATTTGCATTGGCCCTCACTGGATGTCCAACACTACGGGCGCAGCATCCTTTTGGAAGGCGCAGCTTCAGCGCTTCAGCGGTTCAGATCCAATCCTCCTTGCTTTGCCTCTTTGGATCTTGAAAACATTTGATCTTGTTGGTCAACCCCCGTATTCGTGGGCATGAAACTATATATATATATATCTTTGTTGGTTGTATCCCCTTGCCATTTTTGGGGCGGAACATGTTCCCCGTCATTGCCATCACTTGAGAATCCCTGAAGAAGCCACAGGACTACGATGCGCAGACCAGGTATAAACATCTCAGCGGCCAGAAGGCCTAGGGGCCCTAGGGGGCGCTTGGGTGATGCTGCTTGAGCTGATGTCGGCCACAGAAGCTGCGAAACATAAAATGATTTGGCATGGGTGTGTTATTTTTCCGAGGATGCTGCCAGGGTCTGTGGGTGTGTTTTTGATATGGGTCGCGAGGAGCAGTCCTTCCGGGCCCTGACAGATGCGCAGCGTGCCGCGCAGCCGAGGGTCCGGGGCTTGTGGGGGTTTCACAATGTTGCACATGGTTCTCAAGAAATCACATGAAATCACATCTCGCAAGACATTCATCTGATTTCGGTCTATTTTTTGCTTTTCAATTTCCACCTTTAGTTGGCTAGAGCAGCAGTTAGCTGAAAGATGGACAATTTAGGGTCAAGGCCCCCCCAACATGAGTTTTTGAAAAAGATATCACTGTAGCTGTTTTTGCAAGGGGACCATATCCAAATTTGTGAAGTGATTTTGTTTCCGCAACACTGGCAGCGATTTTGACAGTGTATGTACAGTTATATATATGTATGTATATACATCTATAGTTGATCTAATCTTCGCACAAATCCTTGCATCTGGAATCATTGAGAAGCGGATAGAATATGAGCGAATTTCAATCTAGAATCTAGCGTTGGTTACCCGATTGGCATCTGCCCAATTCCATATGATCACATTCTCATCGAAACTGTAGATGTACTAATAGATCAAGTGTTTCTTTTTTTGAGAAAATTCATGGTTGATTGTTTTTCAATCTACTCCAGGACGATCATAGGTTCTCAGAGATCTCTGCATGCCGCGCAGGAAGAGCTGTGTCCCACGGTGCTCCAGGCTGATGCCGCATGGGTTTCTCCGAGAATAGGGGACCCCGATAGATTAATGGGGATATAATAGGGATATACATTTAAACGGGATGTTAATGATGATTTAGTGGTGATTTAATGGGAATACACTGTGATATATAATCAACAATATTATATCTGGGTATGTCTGAACATGATGCATATCACCCAAAAAATGTGACAATTGATCAATGGGACCATGATTTTCTGAACCATGGGCATCTGAATTTTCAGACCAAACCATATCCAAGACTAATGGTGGTTGTGGATGTTCATCCTCTGAATTGAAAGATGAACAAACCATAAGTGGTTGAACCTATGTGGTTGTCCATATCCTCTGGTTTTGGATACATCCATGGTGGTTATGGATACAACCACTGATCGTTCATCCAGTCAGCCAGGCCACCTACGTCCGCGAATATGTGGCCCCGCTGCACCGTGCGCCTCCACTGGAGGTCTCATGGCCGGTTACGGATGAGCCCCGTTTTTTTTGTGGTGGGGGAGGGGTAACCACTCATGATAGTGGCTATAAGCACTAAGAAAAAGAGTTACTTTACTAATTTTACTAAATTAGTGATTAAAGCTCAATTGGTTTCTGGGGAAATTTTAGGAAATCACCATATTTATCCATCTTCGATGGGAAAAAATCACTGGTTTTCTGTAGATTTTCCTTCAAACCAATCCATTGAAAACCACAAAGAAAAGCCGAGGGATTTGATGGGTCAAATCCTACATAGATCATGTTTACCAGCGTGACTTCCATGATCTATATATGACCCGCGAAGCTGCCAGTCTTGGGGTGATCGGATGACCGATGGATTTTCTGGTGGTTTGGAAGGCTACCAGCAAGAATGGGTATAGACTGGGTATGTGTCACATCAAAAACGGTGATTTGTGCTGAGCATTAAAGGATGTATTGCTATGTATTGCTAATAAGTGGTAAAAATTGTGATTTCAGACATAACTGGTAGGGCTGGTAGGGCTGGTAGGGTTTGTGAGTTCAATTTCTTTCTGGACTCAGGTCCTTGAACAGCTGGGACACCCTGGAAGGCGAGCTGGGGCTGTGTTCATCACCTAAATTGGAATTTCTGCTGTGAAAAACACGATTTTCATATTCCAAAATGTGGCTTAGACGAAAATCTGCAGGCACCCTGTTCCGCTATTGGGGGGTTTAGCAGACGCGGTTTCGACATGTTTCGGCTGATTTTTCCATAAAGGAATCCATGGAACAAGTGATCTTTCTTGGTGCAATAATCCCATTAGTCCACTCAAAATCCACGAAATCCCATTGATTTTCCCCAGAAATCCATCGGTCAAAGGGCGCCCCAGTCCTTCTGCTGGTTCCGGAACCGACCACATGGCAAGGCAGCTGGCGGATCTCTTGCGCGGATGACATTTGTCCAAAGGTGGGGCCGATTTTGGGCAGCGGTTTGATGGTGATGTTTTTTTTTTCGGGATATGAATGGTGATTTAATGGATATTTAATGGGAATATCATGGGAGATATATAAGATATAATCAACCATCTGATAGATTATTTGTGTGTCTGAAAATGGAGTATTTTTCCACCAAAAAAATGTCGATTTAATAGGCAAAATAAGGGTTTTTGTGATGATCAACCATGGGATTTAGGCTTAGCCTATTTTTAGACAAGCCAGATAATGATCATTGACGACACGAATCATTATCAACAATAGACACGATTACACACATACCCTCTGGTAAACTAACATAGCTATGGAAAATCACCATTTTCAATGGGAAAATCCACTATTTCTATGGCCATTTTCAATAGCTATGTTAAATTACCAGAGGGTATACAATACAACATCAATGGCTTTGTGAGATCTTGTTTGGCCCATCATGGTGAATGAGTGGCTCTGAACAGCCACAAATTCATAGGTCAACATATCGATCCGTTCGGAGACTGTCACCTACACACACTGGCATAGTATTTCATGGTATTAATTAATAATATTCAATAATAGAAACATCTACCCTTCAGTAATCAAACATCAAACTGGAAAATCCACTAAATCCACTATTTATAGTCGATTTTCCCAGCTATCCATGAAATTTATTGAATATTATAGGGGGTTTTACAGCTAGCCATGTTTGACTACCGGAGGGTATGAAAAATCCTGGCAGGTCGACGATCTGTGCTTACTGAAGCAGGAACGCTGGCTGTGCAAGATGCATGGCTCTAAGAGCTTACGACCACGGAGGTTAAAGGAACGCGACGTAACAACCCGGGAGTTCTGGGGAATCACCAGATTTTGTGGGAGGATTTGAAGCCATCTTTAGCCAAAACCCTGGAGATAAGATACAACATGTGAAATTTACCATACGATATTTTCCTCTGTAAGAACGGTTGAAAGACAAGAAAATGAACAGACATGATCATTTTGTTTATCAAATAAACATTTGGGATTGCGGTGGATACAGTTCAGTTGATTACGAGGTACATCCATCTTGAGACTTGAGCTGCATGAACCCCCCACGTTGGCCTTGATAGTTGAATTAATTACATCCACCTCTCTCATTCACGTCACCCATAGATGATGTGACGATGTGTGAGGGGAATCATCCCAACATTACTGCAACTTCTCTCAGGTTGGTGAATCTTCTTCAAATTCAGCCAGGTTTTTTCAAGCCTTTAGAAGTTACGGCATCTGGTAGGGAAGCACCGAAGAACCCCTGTGGTCGCTGGCTTCGCCGTTGCCAAATCTGCAGCGGATTGCCTTGCCGACGGATCGTTCCTGGTCGTATTTAGTGAAGTGGAGGAGCGAAGACAAAGTGGAGACGAGATGAAAGACATGAAATGAGTATGGATATGTATGGATCAATATCCATTATAGATACCATATCAATCCAATTCATACATCATTATACATACCATATTGATATGGATCAATATCATATCAATATCCAATTCATACATCATTGTTACACCATGAAATACCATGTGAAATACCAATGTGGAGATGAACATCACTGGCAGCTATTTCGAAGTTCACAACGGCTGGTTTGGACCATTGACCCAGTGAAGACCTGGAGCAGATCTGAATCGCCAGGAACCAACGTGGAGAGCAAGGAAGAGTTTCACCGCAAGGCAGTTGCCACAGTCGACTGGACTGGATGTATTGTTGCCGATTACACGTTTCATGAGACAAAGTCACCACAAACATTGAGAATTGAGAAATGACTGGGCCCTGTAAGTGATGCATGTATATGATTGTATATGTATATTATACACACACATATATATTATATACATATGATATGCATATGTATATGCACACATACGATTGTATAATATATATATGTGTATATAATTGTATATACAATAATCACATATATATGTATATATATACACACATCTATACACATGCATACGTTCCACAGGCATATATGATCATATATGTATAATATATGTATAATATATACATTGAACATACATCACACACACACAATGGTTTTATTTATTCCAGGTTATATAATGAAATATGGATTGCCTGTGAAAAACAAGCATGAACAGGGGCATACAATGGGCAAAGGGACCCTGCAGTTGGTCCCCCACTCTGCGAATGGTCCAGGAATCTCAGCGCGCAATCTTAACGTACAATTCGTTGGGGTGCACGGCCACTACTTAATATCATTGGATTGGTTTAAGGGAAAATCTTAACCGGAAACCATGGTTTTTACCATCAAATATAGGGCTTTCCTGTAAATTTTCCCATCATCCAATTCTATGATAATAGTTTTTGACATGCAACGGAACATGTAGTCTGCATATAGAAGTCGCACAACGAGAGTGGTGTCTCGATAGTGGATGTGCCATCTTTGGAGAACACCACTCGTCATGCATTCAATCTTTGTACTCATCTGTCGCAACTGCTGAGCAAAGCGACAAAACGCCCGCGATGTAATCGAGAAAACAGCAGACTTTGAATCCGTGCTCGATCATGTGGGCATGTCCCAAGAGAGGGATCTGTTTGATCCCCAAAAATGGTGGAAACCTGGAAAAAGACTAGGGGTATTGGAAACTCAGTTGTTGCTTTTTCAGGAGCCAGGCAAGCGGATTTCCACAGCATCAATCTTGAGATGGTAGCCCTACTTCAATTGCCGACACTGTGCTTCAGCCACACTGGCTTCAATAGTCAAAAAACCTGGTGCCAACAGCGCAAGGGAGCCGTGACAAACGCATGCGTTTGGCCTGCCAAGAACCATGGTGATCATAAGTCCCCCACGGTTGCGCTTACTGCACCTCCCTATGACCTATATCTGATTGATAAACAACAGGCTTACTTTCGCCGCGCTCGTGTTTTCTCGCTGTTTCAAAGTTTGACCGTAAGGTGAAGAGACAGCATATTGACCTGGACTGCCTTTTCTGCTGCTTCTATCCTTCCTCAGCCTTCAGCCAACCCTTCCCCCAACCCACAGACCTACTTCACTCCGTGGCCATGCGTGGTTGATTCAGGTGTCATTCTTCCACAAGACACTCCCACCCACCGATCTTTCAAGTAAGTTTCATTCTCAATCTCCCCAAAAATTGATCCCAAAGTCAGTTTTTTTTTTGGGCCCCCAGGTGGCTGGAAACCCGAAACCACCCAGCTTCCGTTCCCTGCGCCATGGCCTTAGCGCTGATGGCCGGCGTGGGCGGCGCGGCCGCGAGCAGCGGCGCCGCTTCGTCCAGTACGAAGCCCTCTTCGGCCTCAAAGGCGCCGTAGATTTCGAATGATGTCTGCGTGTGGTGTGTAAGTTTCTGTCCTAGCACATAATATGTGAATATATATATATACAATATATATATACAATATATATATATATACAATATATATATAATATATGTATATATATATATTATATATATAGATATACACATCTACATAGACTTACACCTGATATGTGTATGTATATAATATGTATATATATATATAAATTTAGGATGATGTAAGTATCATGGCTGGAACTGGCCTAATTTTCTCCCAGGTCAAAGGAGCTCCTCAAAAGATGGACAGCAAAAAGGCGCCCGCCCGTGGCAGATGGGCTGGGGGTGGTTTTTGCTGTCGGTTAAAACCATGGCTTTTCCCGGAAAATCTACAGAAGATCATGGGTTTTGAATGGTTTTGTAATGTCTATGAAATATATTGAAATATGGCTATGAATCAATACTTATACATACCATTTTTAATGGGATGAACATCCATTTACCAGCTATTTTGATGTTCACCAGGGGGATAGGGTTTTGACCCATCCCCATATATTGAAATATAGTTTTTTTTTGGGGGGGGGCGTTCTGCAAGACTTACCTACATCCAAATCTGGGAGGATGTTGGGAAGGATCCTTCTGGAAGGGGGTGAAGATACCCAATTTCACCACCATTTCAGGCTTTGAGGGAACTCTCCACCTAACATACACACCTGTGTCGAACTTCAAGACCTCTCAACTCCCCAAAAACAAAGCTCCCCTATCGAATTTCGCATCCAATCTTTCAGGTTCAACTACTCAGCTACTTACATCATCTCACATCCTATCTCATTCTCAGAAGGTGAGTTTACCAATTTTTCTGTGTGAAGATGCCGATTTTCTCTATTGTTTGTGGATTATATTACCCTTCTACTTTGTGGATCCACCCACCCTTGAGGCCTTCGAGATCCCAGGGCTGCAAGCCAGACCTTACCACGATGACGAGTTGCAGGTGCCGCTGGGGCGGTTTTTTATAATGGGTGGAAAACAATAGTTTTGAATAGTTTTGACATATTGCCATACATTGCCTCATTTAACTAATTTGAACTGATTAGAACCAAATGACACGACCAGACATTATGCACATGATTGCATGTGTATTTGATGCCGTTAACTGGTACCCCAGTGCAAAGTAAAGGTGTAGAGCAACGCAACTCGATCCAGTCGTTTTTGGGTGCCTGTGCATTTGGAGGCACAAGGATTTCACTTATGTTGCGTGACAAACTAGTAGAAAGCCCGAAACCTTTGATTATCTTGATTGAGGTGGAACACTTGTTAGATCTTGTTAGTAACCGAGCAACAAAAACACCCAAGATCTTCCCATTTCCCCATGGGTTACCCTCTGGTAAACTAACATAACAATGGAAAATCACAATTTTCAATGGGAAAATCCACTATAAATGGCCATTTTCAATAGCTAATTTTGACATGACCAGAGGGTACATCCCAGCAATCCCCACGGGGTTTCCCCAGGTGGCCTTTGAAATCATCGACCTGGACCGTCACGGCGAGATCGGGGCGACCGATCTCCGAAGGGCCTTGCAGTCGCCCGGTGCGAAGTGGTTGGCAGTTGGGGGGTGCATCGGTGCATCGGGTTATCGGTTAGAAGTTGTTATGGATGATAGAATCTGATAGAAAGTCGCCAGGTGAATGCTGAATTTTCTGAATCGTTTTGGTTGACTTTTGAAGCTCATCGAAGTAGATCGAAAATATGGATATGTCGATTTTAGCAAGAAACTCATCACCAGAGAAGCAACCCGTGTTTCTTTGGAAGTTGAGTTTCCCCAACCATACCCTGGCATTGATGGCGGCATTTTCTAGACATGTTCGAAACAGAAAGGAGAGAACATTCATTTGGACGGTTCAACATGTCTGGACAATTTTTGAAAAGCATAATTTCGAGTACACATAATATATTATGTTTTTGCAGTATAATGCAGTATAGATTTTGTATGTATACACACCACACATAATAATATTCGCACGGTGACCATGAATCATCACCTTTCAATCATCCCATTTTGGCAAAGTCACCACCAAAGGACCTGATTTCAGCTGGTATGAGATGATAGTTTGGCATAGCTAAATATTCAAATCATTCAAATCCAAAATATTCTGAATGTCATTGGTTTGAAGGGAGCATCTACCAGAAACCATCCTTTTCAAAGTTCACCCCCCAGAATGTGACCACTGATCGAATCCGAGACTCTGCGGCGAACCGGAGCCCACGGACGCGGAGGTGCAGGAGATGATTCGGCTGATGGACCCGGCGCCTTGGGCCATGTGGGCCATCGTGACATGCGGAGATGGCACGAAGCAAAAATCACGATTCTGAGATCCACACCATGGTCTTACTGGTGCTTAGAGAATGGATGGGAATGGGGGAATGGGATGATGATTAAATAGTTGTTGTGGATCATTCCCTCATTCCCTGCTAAGCACCAGTCAGTGGTTCGATTTATAAATCCACACATTTTCGGATCGAAGCAAAATGTGACGCACCAAGGACGGTAGCGGCTCGATCGCCTACGACGAGTTCCGGCGCTACTTTGTGGAGCCCCCACCGTGCCTGAGACGATGATGTGAGGGCTGTGTCCACTTTGATTTTTCAACATAGCTATTGAAAATCACCATTTTTAATGGGTAAATCCACTATAAATGGCCATTTTCAATAGCTATGTTAAATTACCAGAGGGTAACTGATTTGACTAATTTTAACTGGAAACCCGATGATGATAATGAATAACTGTTTTTTTCTACCCCACAATGTCAAACCACTTCATTCATAAAATTTTACCAGAATTGATACAGTGTAACTGGTAAACCATGGTGTTTACCCAATGCCATAGTCACCATTCACCAACCATGGGGCCATGGGGGTTCAATAGTTCAATCAAAAAACATCCGCCGAGGCTCTTCCGCAACTTCGATCTGCATCGCAGGGGCGGGGAAGCAGCTGAAGAGGCGATATCATGACTGGGTGAGGTATTATGACCTCAAAATCCATAATATTATGGTATATTATTCATAATGGTATATAAGTTACTTGGATATGATATATTATGGGTGAGGTATTATGACCTCAAAAGTGCAATGGCAGAATGGCACCGTTACAAGACTAAGGCATGCATGATAATGGACACCTTTGAACAAAGGAAGACGCGGAAGGTGTTCCTTCATTCTTCATCATTGTTCACATTTTCGCCCCAACATTTTGTTGTGTGTCTAATGATATCTTTTGCCCACGATACACCCCCAAGTTTGTCATGGAGCTTCAAAAAAGGGGTTCCAGTTATATATATATAATTATATATATATATGTATATAATTTCACTACAACACATCCATTATAGATATGACATGATATGACCCCTGGGTTGAATGTTTTCGCTCCCAGGAGGAGGTCGTCCCTGAGCTCCCTGCCCTGGACGATGGCGACGCAACGCCCAGCGCTATACGCCTGGAGAGTCGGAAGAAGAAATTCACCATCAAAGTCACCTGGCACCCCAGCGGCTGGGATGGGGGTGAAGTTGACCTTTTTTTTTCCCGTTTAGAGATGGTTTTTGAACCCTTTATAGCCGTTCTTGATGCTATTTATCAGTGATTTGTGGGGTAGTATAGCTAGAGAGTTTGCTCCAAAACTTAGCGGGTGTGAAACAAATGGGTATAACCATCAAGGGGGTAAATGGGGTCGAACTACTGATTTACATAAAAAATAAATGAATATAAACGATACTTCTGGGATTTTTCTGGGTATGGATGGGGGTAAAAAACGATAGTTGCCAGTATATTTCTTTACTTATTTTGTAACTACCTATGATTCTTGCATCGAGATGGATATACATGGATAGTTATATAATGACAGTCAACAATGTCATGATGATATTGTAGAGTTGGATAAGTTGAATATAGTGAGATTTACTGTCAGCTATCAACAATGCAGTGTTGGTTCCAGATGGTTTTGACCAAGGGGCAGATATTTTTCTTCTTTGTATCAGAATTCAACTTGATGTTCAACCAACAGTCGACAGGTTGAGTGAAGGGGATCTCATCAAAAAACGTGATATTAATGATATTATCATAATCGCAATTACTTGCTTAGTTTCAAAATGAATGGGATGTCTCACTCTCGAACACGGGGGTCACCAACATGAGACATGTTTGTTTGAATCAACATTTGCGGGGTTTGGACTTTCCAATTTCAATCTGACATTCAAGCGAGGTATGGTCCTTGATTGCTTACACTTACACTACTTTCTTGACGATTCAGTGGTTGACTGGCTGGGTGATTTCAAATGGGCATGGGTCAAGAGTTAAGACTCAGGGAACTAAAGACTGAGTAGCAAAATGTAGCAAACTTTTGACGCAGCTGTAGAATGGAATAAGTCCCATTTCAGATAGGAAACCACGTGTTCAGGAAGTGGTTTTTAAGTCCCAGTAGTAAACTAATGTGGGACAAGAATTTTTACGATCCCCCAAATCACTATGTTGATGGTATGTTTGGTATGTTTACCATCAAGATATAGGTGGTTTATGGCATTGTTTTACCCAGATTACCCTCTGGTTATGTCAAAATAGCTATTGAAAATGGCCATTTATAGTGGATTTTCCCATGAAAAATGGTGATTTTCCATAGTTATGTTAGTTTACCAGAGGGTATGCAATTTTTTGGGCACCAACTCACCTCTTCGACGTCAGGAGCAGTCTGAGGGTGACCCCCGCGCACCGTGCGTCAAAGTGTTGGCCAAGCATGGCATCACTCCGGCCGCGCGGCGAGGTTTTAAGGTCCATGGGGACTTCCATCTGGTAATCAACATGTCCGGCTGGGAAATCACCAGGAAATGGAGGTTTTTTTTGGGAAAATCGATGGGAAAACTGGAAGCTTTTCCAAAATAGATATGTTGGATGAATCGAATTGGCGTTTTGAATCAACCAAAGCGGGGATATTATATAAGAGGCTGAAGGAGGGATTGCGACTAGTCAACATGAAGACAGAATAGACACCCACATTTCCATTTTGGTGTTTTTCCTTTAAATGCCACCTATGTGACAGACACATGGCAGATGTTTGCAGTTGGAGGACACAGAAGAAAACCAAGTCGGATTGTGTCTATCCATTTTCCAAAATTGTATGCGATCATATAAAATTCACCCATAAACCTGAGACACCAAACAATTCAGAAGGGCAAAGCAAGCAACAAGCAAGCCAAAAACCTCCAGTCACCTCCAACATTTGGATATATAGTTTGATTATGTTTGATTTGTCCAAACCTACACACACACACACTAGACAAGAATGGATCATTATATGATCCGGCAGGAACTGAGTCCTGTAACATGCAGATTAGATTAGTTACTTAGATAAGTTACTTAGATATGGATGAAATATATATATATATATGGGACTATGGTGACCACCAGCTGCGTCTTACAATTGCGCCCAGGTGCGTCACCACAGTCCCGCGGGTACGTTTACACGGGTCCCCGGGAGGTGTCTTCGTTGGTCACCGACCTCCCAGGGACCCCGGTGACCCCCCGCATATAGATATATAAGGTATAAGAAGTTTTACGTCTATTCAGACGGTACACACACACACACCCGCCTCCGGCAGGGTGGTGCGCGTAAAAATGAGATGAAAGTGAGGATGAACGGGGGATGAAAATGAGATGAGAGTGACAATGAGATGAACGTTACTTAACCAGGACGCGAAGAGGGGAACGCAAAAGAAGAGGGAAGGAGCAAACACACACCAACACACCTAGCCCGGAGCGGGCGAACCCTGAAAAGGCAAGGGAAAAGAAAAAGGCGGAGGGTCGACGGACACGGACCAAGACCAGCGGAGGGGGGGGAAGACGGAAGCGCCTGAACCAACCTGCCAAAGCGAAAACCTACAAACACCTAGGCACGCGACGGAACCAACCTACCTGGGGAGGGAGGAGAGCATGAGATAGGGGACCAATGGGGAACTAGTTGGTGAAAACAAAACCGGAAAACAGGATTCAGTCCCTAAATGCCTAAAATGTCGTGCGATTATTCCCTGCACCGGGACCGTGGTCAAGTCGTGCCGCAATGGCATAAAACAGCTTCCAAGTTCCATCGAATTAGATGCACAAAATGTTTAACCTCACCAGACAACCATCAAAAGAAAGAATTACCACACCTGAAAGTCGTGTGCCTGCCTGTAGCTCGTCACATGGGCATGTTTCACTTCCAAAGCTTGAGCTGTAGTGATCGAAAAAAGAGCGTTTCTGGTTGTTCCGCATGGCTTCTCTCAGTGAAGAAAGCAATTCACGAGGATCTCAAGGGACAGCCGGAGCAGCAGGAAATCACAAAAAGGCTGATGAACCGCAAGGCTGATTGTTGCCCTCTACTTAAACGAATTACTAAGTTAAAATGTGTAAATTCAGAATTCAAGTCTGTCAACACTCACCCTGAAAAGGGTTGCCTCAAATGGCTCCATGGCACCATGTCGGAGCCACCATGGAAATCACACTAGACAAGAATGGATCATTATATGATCCGGCAGGAACTGAGTCCTGTAACATGCAGATTAGATTAGTTACTTAGATAAGTTACTTAGATATGGATGAAATATATATATATATGGGACTATGGTGACCACCAGCTGCGTCTTACAATTGCGCCCAGGTGCGTCACCACAGTCCCGCGGGTACGTTTACACGGGTCCCCGGGAGGTGTCTTCGTTGGTCACCGACCTCCCAGGGACCCCGGTGACCCCCCGCATATAGATATATAAGGTATAAGAAGTTTTACGTCTATTCAGACGGTACACACACACACACCTGTGTATATCTTATATATATATACACATACATATATATATAAAATACACAATTACACACACACACACATCATCATCTCAGCAAAACGTCCAACACAGCCCCGGCCCAGCCGGCCCTGCAGGGCCCAGCCGGCCCAGCCGGCGCCCAGGAGTTCATCCGCGACGTCTATCAGACCTTTGTGGAGATCGATACCAAGGAGACGGGCTTCATGAGCTTCGAGGCGGGCAGTGGGATGGCGAGAAAAACACCTGGAGAGTTGGAGACCCGTAGTACGCTGAATGATGAAACTTATGAAAAACCATGGATATATATGGTTATGGTTAAGCCATATTACCATGGATAATTACCATGGATAGCCATATTATTAAGTTGGATAGCCATATTACCATGGATAATGCACCAAACACATCTCGCTAATATGGCTATGATAAGTCTACCGGGTATACTCAGTGACGACTGTCAGCACCAGTGATTTGATTCCCCAATTTTCAGTGTCCCATCCTGGATTTCCAGAAGAAAAAACTGCTCTTGCAGATTCACCCAATTTCCAATCCTTGGGCCAGGCCTTTTGCAAGGTCTTCAGCCAGGCGGTCAACCTTGGATGGCTAGTTTCGTCAGTTGCTAACCAGCCATAGATTGGGTAAGATCCTCCATGGTTGTGGCTGGTTAGTAACTTAAGCATATATGTTCTAATATGTGACTAGCTGCTATTACTATAATTCAGTACAGCCAGTCACTGAAGAATCCAATGATTGAATTAGTAACTTAATCATTAATGGCCGATTTTAGACTGGTTAGGAATGGTTGGTTCCCAACTGAACCATGAAATTACTATATAGGTAGTAGGAATAATATATATATATAGTATATATTATACACATATTAATCAATTACTTTTCTATAATCATCACTATATAACCAATAGAATACTACATAACCATGCTTAGTAACTATATAGCCATATAGCCATTAAATTCTTCCTTCCCAAGTGATCGGCTCGCAGAAACCGTCGGAGAAGATGCGCGAAGTCTTCGATGCCTTCGACGCGGAACGGGAGGGTGAGCCGCGCGGCAATTTCCGGACCACCCTTTGGTGAGTTCATCCAGTCCCAAAATGGGGAGATTTACTTGTAACCATGGTTAATATTGCTTAATATTGGTTAATAATGGTGATTAATGGATGACTAATGATGATTAAGGGAGATTTACCATCTGGTTATGACTAGCAGTTCGCCATGGAAAGATCCACCATGCTATTAAGAACGGTAAAGCATCTATTTCTATGGGCCATCTATACCATGGCGAACTGTTAGTCATAACCAGAGGGTAGCACGATTTTTCAGATGAGTTGAACTTAAGTAGATGGTTTAAGATGATGAAAATCAACGATTTTACATGATGTAGGATCACTTGAGATTATTTCAGATGATCTGTTTTTTTTGGGGATGGAGGTGATTTAGACTTAAAAACTGGGATGTCGCCAATTTTCAAAATGGATGCAGGTTTGTCCAGCAATTGGATTTAAAGCCCTTTCCAACCCGTCTGAGGTTGGATCTGCGGCAGTTCGTCATCGGGCTTTCCACGTGCTGCCTGCCAGGGTTTCCATTCAGAGATTGAGACGCTGGCACCTGCAGATTTTGATCATTTATGAATATCTATACTTCAAAGATGTTCAAAGCATTCAATTTTTGGGTGCTCCATGTCCAGCATGACAGAATCATATCCCCCTTCATTCCTATAATTTCCCACGATTTTTCCACTTTTCCAACCACTCTGGCCTCCAATACGGGATACACCATCCCATTCTTGGTTCGGGAGTTCGGGCTAAGATCGAAATTTTCGATGTTTTGGCTGTTTTTTTTTCCATCATTCTTCATCACTTTCCATTAATAGCTTGGTCGGAGATGAACCGATGTTCTATATGATTACGATTATATATATATATGTACACACGTCATTATGTATACAGTATACGCATTATACGTGATACACATTCCCGCGTTTTCATACTTCTTCCATCATTTTGGCCGTAGATGAACAGAGACATGCAAAAAACAGCGTCTTGAAAAAGACCAAATTTGGCCCTTTACCTACAATCCCCATATGTCCCCCATATCAAACTTCCCCATTTTTCTCCCCCGCAGCCCTTGGCTCAGTGTCGTCCTCGTCGTTTTTTTAGTTGCTCGTGGTGTTCATCGCCATGGGCTGCACGATAGGACGCCACGGGGCTGCTATGGAGTCGCCACACAGCTGTCACCTTCCGATGATGGTGGTGTTTCTTGGCCAAAAATGGTGGAAGTCATGGGACATCATCATATATTATGATTACCCTCTGGTGAACTAACATAACTATGGAAAGATCCACCATTTTTAATGGGAAAATCCACTATTTCGACTGGGCCATTTTCAATAGCTACGTTAAATTACCAGAGGGTAATAATGGTGCTTTTTTTCTATTATTGACCAGATCTATTGCGGTGGAAATATTGTTAGCCACTTGCTATTAACTAACCATCTATCATGAAAAAAACATGGGGAAGAACTAGGAGCAATTGGGAAATACGTGAAGAACTGATCCGTTTCTGGAAAAATAACGTAGAAACCAAAACTGGGAGCAGACTGGACACACAAATTGTATGAAGAAACATGTGTGGAAAAAAATAGAGTTTCTCGGAAAAGCGTGAGGACACAATTGAGAAAACAGCAAAGATGAAACTAACAAAACGAGTTTGGTGAATAAACGACTCGAAAACTTTCATGTTACTTGAAGTGGATACTGTGGTACATACATGGAAGGGTGATGTGTGTTTCTTGGGGTCTGAACAGCTGCATCTCTCCGTCAAGATCTTCAATTTGGGGGCACAGGGTGAGACGAAGCGTAGCCTTGGGGGTGCATCCCATTCGAAATTGGCTTGTAACCTACACACCACTGGATGATACCCTAAGTATACATACATACATACATACATACATACATGCGTGCATACATACATACATGCATACATACATACATACATACATACATGCATACATACATACATACATACATACATACATAATACATAATACATATACTGGTAACTAGGTTACACTGTTGGTTACCAAGCACTCCCTAAGTGGGATGCACATCCAGCCATCTTTTTTGCAGCTTTACATCCCAGGAAACTTGCAGATGTACTGCAGATGCGCGGGACGCTGAAGTGTGTCCTGGTCAAACATGGCACCGGACGGTTCTAAGCAACTTGTGGTAATCATTGGCTGGCGATGAATCGCTTTCGAATGACATCCTTCTGAATTGTCTGCGGAGAATCAATCAAGCTGAATTCACTCTATATATGTCGTTTTTTTTTTGCGAGGTCCGAATAATCTTTGGAACTCAACTTGAGACATCGTGAAATAAGTGCGCTTGGCCCAGTGATCCTTAGTTCTTCGCCGCATGGAGACGGGACTTGATCTGATGTTTGGAAGATGATTTTTGCTGCTGCGACACATGGGATTTCCCGCATGAAATTCCTAATGAAATCCAATGAATTCCCACTTTTCCAATGATTCAACAAAAGAGTCTCGCCACCAAGGCTATCAAGAATTGCTGAAGCTTGAGATGCTCCATGAGCACCAGCCCTCGTTCTTCACCATCTTTGTCTCGCACCAGTGGTTGGCAGGACACGTTTTGAGGGGAGCTGAGTGGATAGGAGGGACCCACCTGGCCATGCTGGGTCCGTATCTGCTCGACCAGGAGCACACCCAGACCCCAGCAGCAACCAATTCCGGAATCTGCAAAAGGCCTTGAGAAAGGCATGGGTCGGGGATGTTGGGCATCGCCGTTTTCAAGAAATAGGGAGATGTAGCAAAGACTGGGGATGTCGGCCAACAACCATTTGATTCGTTTTGACTTTTTTCGGGATTGAACCAAGTTGCTCCTGAGATACCAGAATCACTTGGATCTTTCATTTGTAAATGCCCAAGTTGGTGGATTTTGAACAGCAGACTTCAAGACCAAGCCACTGACTCCGTGACTGTACATGTTTGGTTTCTATATAACTTGGAACATCTTGGATGTTTCGATAATTTCAACAAATCCCAGCCCCCCACTAACCAGCCCCTCAGAAACCATGGTTGAGTAGGAGATTTACACCTATATGGATATATATATATATGGATATATATATGTATATATATATGTATATATATATATATATGTATATATATATGTATATATATATATATGTATATGTATATATATATATATGTACGTATATATATATGTGTATATATATATATACGTATATATATGTATGTATATATATACGTATATATATATATATGTATATATATGTGTATATATATGTATATATATATGTATATATAAACATATATGTATATATGTATATATATATGTATATATATATGTATATCTATATGTATATATATATATGTATCCATATATATATATATATGGAACCCTTTACTGTAGGGGGGTTTCAATACTAGGGGGATGGGATGCCACCCGTAGTCGGGCCATGGATGGCCATGACACACTACCAAAACTACCAGGTGCTGGACGGCACCATCCGTCTGGAGTTGGACATGACCTCGCAGTTCCTGGGGCATCAGAAAACCTTGAGCCTTGGTTTTCTTTGGTCAATTTTTGGGGAAGATTACTATTCGGATTTAATGGGATTTAATGGGAAAACCATAGGAAAATGGTGGTTTAATGGGATTTATGGTGGTTTAATGGGATATTCATGGGATTTACCCTCTGGTTATGTCAAACTAGCTATTGAACATGGCCATTTATAGTTGATTTGCCCACTAAAGATGGTGATTTTCCATAGCCATGTTAGTTTACCAGAGGGTATTTGCTGGAAAGACATGGACCACTGGACCGCTGCTGATTTCTGAGTCCCTGGCTCCCCGAGGACGCTCCAGGACCGCGCTCTGCTAAAGGACGCTTATGTGTCTTGGTGAAATTTTGGGATGAAGCCTACGGATTTGGGATCATTTCATGTCAGGTTTAGATGTCTATAGATTTTCTTAGATGCTTTTTCAAGCTTCTTAGTACCAAGCATCCATTCTCTTTCTTGTACCCAACTTTCGGCCATAACCCATTCCGTACGAAAGTCGGGGATACCCAAGCCAGATATCCAAATGGATGGGTCATTGGCAGGCGGAAACAAATGCTTGGGGTACCCATGGGTACCCTATGAGATCGAATGTGGCAATGGAAGGTCTACAATTAAAAATGAGGGATTTTCGATTGCCATCAATCACTACAATCAGAGGCAGCGATTCGATTAAAGGGGGTTGGTTTTCTTAGTGAAAGCCAACGAAATCTTCAGTCAAATGGCGGAAGAGCCAGTCTTGAAAGCTTATCTTGTGTTGTTGCAGGTTGATATGGACACAGTCACAGGATGTCACAGGCACGCACTGGCTTGATTTTGTGCATCCATGTTGTTGCGTCACTAGAGATATTGTTGACATTTGTTGACTATCATTCATTGATGCTCAAGGCAGTGTTGCATCCCAAGCGCCTAGGTGTGGTTCGACTGGTTTTCAGTGCCACAAGCTTCCGTTGAGCAAAACGGCGAGCTACGAGCAGAGGTTCAGAGGACTGGTGAATCATCATTTTCCCGAAACATACTGAACATGGCCATAAACTGATGGTAATTATATATTCATAATATACAATATTGAACATATGTATATGTATATATATATGTGTTTTAAACTATTACAATATTACAATGTTTCTATATGTTTCTATGACATTTGTTGGATCATGTTGGATGTATTGCTGTGCTCAGCTTTGGATTATTCTCCCAGCCTGGACTCCAGATGCCGAAATCGGGTTTCTACTTAAGGTACCCTTGGGCAAGATAGCATGGGAAATCCGGATGTTCAAGAGGAAAACCATGGAACATACTTGTACATGGTGGTTGCTCCGTTGCCATGTCAGATGACATACGAGTGTTTCAAAAATAAGTGGACTACTATCCCCAAACCAATGTGTTTATGAACAATGAGCGATCTTTGGATGATTTTGGGGTCCTTCACGACTTAGGCCCCCCCCCCAGCATGCTTTCTTGGATTTTTGTTGGCCGGTTTTGCTTCACCAGGAAGGCAAATCTATGTATCAGGCAGCTGGGCGAATCGCTCACGATGGACATTAAATAACCCCCCTAAAGACCTTGTTTAGCATTGGATCTATTCATTATTTGGGCCCTAATGATCATATGGGTGGTTTCTTTTCATCTTACGGGGATGGCATTGGATCCTACCCGACAAACTTCAGAGGTGCTTCTCCGCCCAGAATTCGGATTTCAGGGGTCCACAAGTTAAGAACAGACCCATCTGATATCAATGGAAGCCAGCGATATCGCGGACCATTTGGGTGGCGGCTGTGCACAGCTGAACGCGGTGCAGCAGCAGCCAGTTCTGTCCTTACGCCATAGGTTTGGCCAAATCAGCTGCCTTCCGCAGGAGCTTCGGCCCAAAAAAGCTGCTGGAAATCTGACAAATCTGGGCTGAGAGCTCATGCGGCAGAGACAGCAAAACACCATCAACCGGAATCGCAATCCCGGCACAACGCCGATCAAGACCCCTGCACAAATACACTTCAAGTCCCAGAGCTCTCAGTCCTCTGGTCAGTCCAAGCTTAGTTTTCTGTACTAATGAGGCCACTGTCGGCCTAAGAAGCATGTCAGTAACTGGTTTACATGACCATCGACCAGCTGTGGTGTTTTCGGTAGGAAACTGTGCGCCGAAATGTTGTACAAACCACAGAGTCAATTCAACGAAACTAACCGCTTCAAAATTATGATTCAGGGGTTCAGACGTGATGCAAAAGTGAACCAAACTGAAAACGAATTCAATGGGAAACTTCAAGGATTCTTGAGAGTATGCCAAAATCAACTGCCAATTCACTGGCAAGGCATCCCCAAGAGTGATTCCAGCCACTTGTTGGGCTAAATTTGCCGGCTCAGCTATCAGATCTATGACTTCAAGGGGTTCTTGTCGTGCATCCGCAACCAGCGTGTAGAAGGTTCGCAAGTGGTGCAGTCTATCCTTCCAAAGCTTGTAGTATTCTTCAGCTTCGTTCAGAAGTTGCTGCGCTTGGTCGCCTCTCTGCCGGTTGGCTTGGATGGCATGTCGATCTACTATGTCGTTCCAGACTGCAAGGAACTCCTCAATGGCGTTGTCACATTTGATGGTGTCAATGTGGGAGGGAGTCCAGCGGAAGTCAATTTGGCCCTCTCTGGTACGCATCAATGCCTCCGTCAGTTTCCGCCACAAATCATCGTTCTCTCCATCAAAGAAAAGTTCTCCATCATGCTGTTGGAGTCGTCTTGCCTTACGCCAAGTTCCTGCTGAGTCAGTCCAGAGGATGATCTCCGCATCATAAGTGATGGCCCATTCGATCGCTGACAAGATGCCCCAAAGTTCTGCCCGTCCAATGGTCTGTAGGAGTCCAGGGACTGGTCCATGACTGATGCTGCGGCCCGTGGTGGCGTTCACAACCGCCCATGCAGCTCTGTCTAAGGTTGAAACAATCCCTTTGAAAAAAGAACCATCAGTGAAAACATGATTGGTTTCCCCCCACCTAGGAGCACTGTTAAAGGTGCAGCAAGCGTCCTCCAGGCCAAGAAAGTAGGTCTTGAGAGGCTGCACAAATGGTGAGCGCGGTGCCAGCAAGTGCAAAGTTACGCAAGGAGGTGCAGAGTCAATCCATGCCAGCAAATCGCCGCATTCATGGCGCTGAGTGTCAAATCTTGGACATGTCAACCAGTGTGTCTGCGTGTCCGGTGTGAGGCAAACCTGACAAACCGGCTGCTTAGTTTTGTCAAACTTTGCATGTTGCCATGAGGAAACAAAGGCACCGGACTGCAAGGCTCGCACCCTCGACAGTGTTAATGGTGTCTGTTTGTCATGGTCAAGTTTCGTCAACTCCACATCGAGGCCCTCTAGACCAGCCATGGTCTTGTGGTGCACTCTGGTAGCAACATGTTGAAACCATGCATCAGTCAGCAGTCTGTCCAGTGTTCCATGTGAAATCTCAAAAAGGTCATGGATGAACCCATCATGATCTCGAAAACAAGGAGGTATAAGTATCTGCCAGCCTATGCTATTGAGCAACGAGATCAGTTTGGAAAAAGGCCCATCGTGAAGAACCCCTTCAAAGCGTTTCATGAAAAATTGCCAGTACTGCAGTAAATCTGGGCTCTTTCTACACAATCTCCGAATATCAAAAATGGCTGAGCGCAGCTGGTAAAAACCAGGATCAGCGGTAGTAGGCGAAGCCAATGAAAGTCGAAGAAGAGGGTTTGAGCCAGCTAATTGAATGCCCATGTGTTTGACTGCTTGAGTGCGCAACTTGGTGACATGGTTCTCTGCAAAAACACACCCTAATGCACCATGTAGAGCTCGTGCCCAAAACACCATCGGCAGAATTGCAAGCTTCTGAGCTAATGGCGCCCTGGATCTGCGTAACTGAAGCCACTTCTCCTGCAGAGAGTCTCCTCTGCGAAGGAAGATTCGGACCCTATGCGCTGCAGTAAAGGAAAGGGAGCCTCCCAGTTCACTGGCATCCTGCACAACGTTGATGCCCAAATGGCCCAGTTGGTTTCGGAGCTCGCGCGTGGTACCCCAAGCATAGGTCTTGTCCACATCAATGGAGAGGCCCCACATGGTCAGGAAAGCCCTCAAAGTAAAGAAGGCCCATGCAACCAAACGTGCCTCCCTGGCCAACATTGATATGTTATCCACAAAGGAGAAGTGTCTCACTTGAGGAGCGTAGTGGTGCTGGTAGATTTGGAAGCCCCAATCAACCAGAGCCATGGCAAGTACACTGAGTGGACAACCTTCTGCAAACCCTTGAGTCGAGAGATGTGCATCTCCAACTTGATTGCAGACTTGAAATCTGCGTGTAAACTTGGCCACATATGTGCTCCATGGATGCAGTAAGGTCTCCGGAATGCCAATTGCTTTTGCCAGTGCCCACAAAGGTTCACGTCGAATGCAGTTACAGTAAATGCTTTGACGAAGTCTGTGCCAATTCCAGCCAGTGGAAGGGATGACTGAATAGAGGTTTCGACTGCGGCTTGTACATGTAGCCATGTCTGGGCTGGTTCCCGTGTGGGAAGGAAACCATGTGCATCCGCATGGATGTATGGCTCAAGTTGGTGAAGCATCTGCCTCGCCCGCAAGGAAGCCCAACATCTGTAAACTATTGACAAAAGAACAATTGGTCTGTATTCATTGGGTCGATGTGCGTCCCCACACTTGGCTATGGCAATCACCAAGCCTTCCAGGAGCTGTTGTGGCCATGGCTGGCTGCCATTTTCCACTGCTGAGAGAATAGAGAGCATCCTCTGCATCAGTGCTCTTGGCATGTTGAGAAGATCCAATCTGGCCCATCCATCTGCTCCACGGGCTGCCGCTGGGCGAAAACGCCTCAGTGCGCCAACCCAGTTCTCAACGGTCAGAGGAGGTAGTTGAAGAGGAAGTTTTGGCATGTGGGCTTCTATGAACCTGGAAACTCTTTGCCAGGTTTCATCAGTCAAATCAATTTGGCTGTTCCATCTAGGCTTCCAAAACTCCGCAAGTTGTTGGTGAACTTCTGCTGTGGAGGAGGTATGGACATGAAATTCGACAAGATCCCCAGGAGAAATCTCATGAGGCGATTCAAGAACCAGCAATTCATCAATGTGCCCTTGAGTGACAAGGGGTTTCCCTTGAAAGAACCATTGCCCTTGGAGGTGAGGGGGCACCTGTTTGTTCAAAAGGATGCCATTCGTTGCTGACTTTGTGGCAATCACCTCAAAAACCATAGTATCCCAAAAAGAATCGACTTGGTCAGGTCTGGCTTTTCGCAAGTCGTGAAAAAGGGCCTTCATAGTCTTGTCATATCTGGCTTGCAAAACTTGTTGTCTTTGCTGCAAGTTCCATCTTTCGAAGGTACGAAAAGCATGATGGAAGGCTTGAAAAATCAGGTCAGCTGCTTGGGCATCAGGTGGTAGAAGTGGCAAAGGTCCAAGAACTTGTGCAAAGTCTTGTTGCAGCCACCATACATCAAAAGAACCTTCAAAACCTCTTGAGCGTCGTATTGCGGACCACAGCTCGATTCGATATTGTACAGCATTCTGGTGTTGATGTCCAGCCACGATGGAGTGTCTGTATGACTGGATCCGTCTTAGTTGTTTGAACCAAAGGATCACAGCTTTGTCCACCGTGTCTGCAACCAGGTGCTCCTCGCCAGGTCTGCTTGCCCTACAAGACTGTGGCGTGGGTGTCAATTTGGCTGGTGCAAGTCTTTGCGCACGCCCACAGTGCGCCGAAGACAAAGACCGAGAAGGCAGGTCTCTGACAAAACCATTCAGAGACTGCTCAAAGGTCCGAGCGAGCTGTTTCAAGGTCTCAGTGGAACTAGAATGCTCAAGAGGTTGAGTTTCGTGACTTTGTTGATGCCAATCAGCAATTTGAACTTGATCCCATGGTATCTCCCTCGGCCTGGGCCATGTGCGAATTGATGGCTTCAGCACCCCAATGTTCAATTCGACCGCCAGAGATGAGTGGTCATGAAAGACATCTTGGACATGAAGATTGTTACACAGGGAGGCTGCCATCGGAGACATCCAAATCATGTCCCTTTCAGTCGTGCCTTTGCAAGTCGGCACAATTTCATGATTCCACCTCTGCGCGGCCATTTCTTGTGCTGAACAAAAACCATAGGCCCTCCACGTATCAAAACTGGTGAGCTCATGGGGGCTGAAGTTAAAATCTCCAGCAATCAGCACAATGCCGGAACTGCCGATCACAAACTCCTTTGAGATAAAGTCCATGATATCCGTTGTGATGGCCGTGGCTTTTGGCCAGGTGGGGCCACGAGGTAAACCATAAATGCTGACCAACGTCACAATGTGATGGCCCACGTAGTGTTGGGTAGCCAGCACTCGGCCAGATTCCCAAAAATCATCAGGCCAGGGAACTTGAAGACGCTTGGAACTAAAGTCACTGGTGCAGGCCACTCCTGTCCATGATCCTGCCCAGGTGGAACGTGCTCTCAAAGGAGCTGGTGCGCCAAAGTGGACTTGGAGATGTCGTCCAACTTGTTGGGCATAGTACTTGAGCGCTTTGGCAGTGGAAAATTGGGTGACTCTGGAAAGTTGAGTCTCAGAGTAAGTCCAGATTCCACACCCTTGGTCCACTGCTAGCCATTCTTTGTTTCTAAGTCCTCCTGGGTTGGTGGTGCCAATGGTGAGGACATCAGAGGGTCCTGGGTGACTGGCTTCTCCAATCCTCTGACCCGTCAGACCTGGCAAACACAAGGTGGACTCCGTCTTGTAATGTACTTGGTGAGGCGCACCGGCTTCGACCAGGGAACTTGTAGTATTGGCCGTTTCAGCTCCATTTGCCAACTGAAAAGGCAGCATCAGCAGGAAAAGAAAAAAAAGACGAAGTCCAACAAAAAAGCTCGGACTAGATGAGGATGAGCTTCGATGCCGATTAAGTCCATCATCGGGCATCGCTCCCCATAGTCATTCACTTCGCTGTCTTTTGGCAAACATCGCCTCAAGCTTGTCAAAGCGAGCTGAGAAGTCCGCCGTCATCTCTGATTGGTGGTTGACCAGCGTCTTCTGAATGGTGTTGCCCAGGTTCTCCGACACCGTTTTCACTTCCTGATGTAATCCTTGAAGCTCTTGCTGATGAGTGCTCAAGGTGTAGTTGATGGTCTGAATGGCCGTTTCAGTTGCCGATGTGGCTTGGCCAACCTGAGTAAACCATTGATTGAACTGCTGTTGTTGGGCCTGGATTTCACCCATCGTAGTTTCAATCTGAAGGAAGCGAGCTTCGGTGGCAGCCGTGGTCTGTTCACCCATGCGATCATCATGTTGTTGCTTGTATTGATCCAGCTCTTTGCGCATGGATTCTTGTAGTTCATCTCGAAGTTGTCCAGTCATTTCGGCCAGATGACTCTTGCCAGAAGCTGGTTTGGTAGTTGACTGTCCCGTGGTTGGTTGCCAAGAATTCCAAGGGTCGCAAGTTGCATCCATCCATGGGTCACCACCTCCATTGTGACTGGATGAGCTTGCTTCAGTTCGAATGTGCTTTTGAGTCTTGAAGGATGCCACAAAAGAAGGTGGTTTCTGGGTGGCCAACTGCTTGGTGGTTTCCGTGATCAACACTTCCTTGCCAAAGGCCGTAAAAGTGGTAGTTGGAGGAGGATTGGAAGACCCAATTTGCCAGGAGATTCCATCTTGGTGGCCTTTTCCTGGCTGCAGTGGTTTCGCAGTCCAGTCCAAGTCATGTAAGAGCTTGATGATGCCAGCTCTTTGAAGGCCGTGGGGAAGTGGGAACATCTGGAATGTTCTTTGCACCCTGGTGGCAATGTAGGTGGCCTCCGGCTTCAGGTGTTTGAATGCCGCTTCTTCATCAGCTGCTTCAACACGGAGACCATATTTGTTGCGCAGCCGCACAAGTCCAAGTGCTTTTGCGCATGTTTTGCACGCGTGTTGGGCCTCAGCCAACGTATGTGTTGATAACCAGATGATACGAAAACGCTCATCTGGGTTTTTGTCTTTGCGTGGGTCAATATAGATCCCAGGCACATTGGCGGTGAGCAGAGGCCGAAGAAGACTCTCTGGAACGCGCATGAAGACAGAGAAGTAGCTGGCATCTTGGGCAGGCACTCTTCCGCCTTCGGCTTTTCCAAATGATCTCGCCCAAACTTCCATGATGACGGAGTCCAAGGTTTCGCCAACCACAGGGTGGGATTTGGGGCATTCTGGGCCACAACCGTCTCCTTGGCAAAGTTGAAGAAGAGGCACAAGATTGCAGATGACCCTCACCGGAGATTGGATTAAGTCCGGCCATGAGGTGGAGATCTCGTCCTTGTACACATGGAATCTGACAACAGTGTTTGCCACCACGTCGACCTTGGAAAGGCTACTGGTCATGTGTCTGCTAACTTTGTGATCGCCCAGATTCTTCATGCCACCAAAGATCAGGACAGGTTCACCAGTACCCTGGTAGGTGGCTGGGAAGGAGACTTTTTGGACCCCATACTTGTCCATAAGGTTGGAAGGGAGCTCCTCGGTGATCAAGAGTGCCAAAGCGCTGGTGCTGATGGATTGTTGCTGCTGAAGCCAATGTTGACTTTGGGAGAGAGTGGCAATGGCTATCCCATGTGCTTCTGCTTGGATGCTATCAAAGGAGATTTGGGGCACTGTGTCACCATCTTCATCCTGGAAGTGTCCTGGTTGAAGTGTCAGGGCCGTTGGGTCCAGTTGAGGTACTGGAGGCAGCTGTTTGTCCGCCTTCTTCTTGGTCTTGTGGTTGGAGATGCCCGCTCCGTATTTGTGGACTGCAGTCTTTTCCACATGTCGTGCCAGCTCATCAGGAAGGACAAGTCGGATTGCTATTCCAGGTTTGCTGGCCTGCAGTTTCAGTTGAGCCCAACAGTTCTTGGCGACAAAAGCCGCAATGATGGCAGGAGCTCCCAGTTTCTGAATCACAAACTGTGCTCGTTCCATAAGTTTGTTTTCTGGCACCCCATGCTCAGCAAGTAGGCCCGTGAGCTTTGTCATCTGCTCAGGTGACAGAGTCGTGAGTCCGGTGGCATAGATACTTCCACTGGGTCCCCTGTGGTGAAGAATCCAGGTGTGGATAAAGAGGATGTCAGTTGACAGAACCATAAGTCCAGGGTTCAGCAACTGATGGAGATGAGCGAGAGCCACCGTACCACAGGTGTGGGGGTCCAGCTGAGGGATGTCACAGCGGTGCTTTGGTGGGTGAAAATCCAAACCCAAGTGGCCTGAGATGTTGGAGGCCAATAGTTGCGCCTCTGTGGAGACAAATCCAAAAAGTCCATCAAAGTGTGTCCCGTGGATATAGTGGTCCAGCTTCTGACCCCAGAGGAAAGTCCAATGTCGATGGGCCTCAAAGACGCACAGGATGTTGCCAGATGAGCGATGGAAGTCGTCTTGCATTTGCAGGATGTGTGCTGGTGAGATCCAGTCATGGAGCAGGGCATCAGCTGTTGCCGGGTGGATGATCAAGTGTGTTTCTCGCATCCCCTCAGGTCTTCGTAGGATGCTGTGAATGCCACTCCAGATTTGGCCATCATGTAGTCCAAGTTGTTCAGGGGATTCACTTCCATTTGCCCTCCTAAATGAGCCGCTGGGTTGATGCCAAGGAGCTTCAGTTACAGTCCACAAGGCCATAGGTTGCCACAATCTGAAGTCCACTTGTAGCAACTTCCCTTCTGCGTTGATGACCTTTCTGACGAGAGGGAGACCCATGTCCGTCAGCAGCTCAAACAGAAAACGCCCAGGAGGTACTTGATGGATGTGGAGAACCTCTTCATGTTGAATCGCAATCACGATTTCCTGAACTGGCTTGTTTCGTTCAGCTGGGCCGTGATAGCAGAGTAGCTCAAGTCCAGTGCTACTGCTTGGATTCAATGCGTCATGAAGTCGAAGGTGGTGGCCATCTTGCCAGAGTTCTCCTCCTTCGTTCCAGTCCAAGGAAATGCGCTCTGCCTGCAGGAGCTGAGAAGCTTGGATGTGGACTGGTAAGGTCCTGACCTCTAGGGTCTCACCGAATGCCATCAAATCCAAAGACATTGGTGGAGAGATGGAAAGTCCAAGAGAGGTGTTGGTCTGAGCCATGAGTTCTTGGCAATAAGCTCCAAGCCAGTCTTCAACCCTGGGACATGGTTGTTTCTGTGTCGCCAGCCAGTTGTTCTTCTTCAAATGTCCGAAAACCCAGATGGCTTGTAGTGGTGAGGCCGTGAGTCCAAGAAGGGCCAAGCTCGCTCTCACTGATTGGTTGTAGTGGACGGAGTTTGGAAGTCCAAGGAGATGTCCGGCTTCCTGAGGATGAAGATATCGTGGCATGCCTGTGGTCTTGGAGATGACGTAGAAGCCTCTCAAACCTCCCTTCTGCAAGGTGAGCGGATGAAATCCCTTCTGGCGGCAGCCGCAGGGACAGGCATCAAGAGCATTGGAGTAGCTGTGCAACAAAGTAGCTGCTATGTGGTGCAATTCCAGCTGTCTGACATCATGTCCAAAACGCGGATCATTGTACATCATCAATTCGTGTGGGGTCAATTGAAGGGCATTTTCATCCTCATGACTCCAATGACCCCAGTCTGCCAAAATTGCTCCTATGCTCTGAAAAGGAGTGGGAAAATTCCACTGAGGCATGCCCACTTTGTTCCATTCACTAGGTAGCAAAAGAGCCCACCATCTGTGTCGTTTGCATGGCCAAACATCTTGTAAATCAAGATTGACACTCAGAAGATCCCAATTCATCGCTGCTGCCAAAGTAGCCAATGCGTTTTGAACTTCATCATTGGTTCCTGCTGCAGGAGTGCACTCGAGGATCACTGCTTGGGGCTGAATCATGTAGATGATGTGGAGACCATGCCATAGGACTTCAGCTCGAGCGTCATCACAGCCGAGTCGCATGCCCTGCTGCGAGTGAGGCTGGCATGGGAAGCCCATCAGGATCACGCCAGGATGATGTTCACAAGCTTGGTGAACTTGCTTGGCGGCATCCCTTGTGGTCAGGTCAAGTTGGAGTATGTTGCCTGGATAATTCTCCCTCAGGTGTTCAATGGCCAAAGTGTTCCAATCCACAGCTAACATGGGGATACAACCAAGGTAGTGGGGGCCTATGCTCATCGCACCCATTCCCGCACATAAATCCACAACATGTGGTGAGAGGGAATC